ATTGACTTCTATGGGGAGTCTATTTTACGTCCTCAGGGATGGAAATGGGGATTCCCACCGATGGCGGCTGTATACCGGGGAAAATGTCCATTAGATGGACAGAGGACTGGCATTCCACGGGCTCTTTGACCGACGAGAGTGGTAGAATTTAATATTCGATTCTAGTATGATATATTCTTCGGAATTCCACTGTACTCAACATGTCAATTTTCCTCTGAAAGCCGTAGGCTCCCGGTCATTCTTGTAACTTTGTTTTTTAATTTTCTACGGGCCAACAATTCACAGGTATTAGTGGTCTGCATGGAGAAAAATTTTATCGAAAAAATGCACCGGCTGTGAAGTAAAAAATAAATAAATGAATGAATTATAATTGTAACTTGTACAAAAAGTCAAAATTTCAAGTGTACAAGAGTTACAACTCCTCTGGGATATCCGGAGTAAATTTCCCTATAGATTATGGTACGTGGAAATTTCGTAAAAAACCCACAAGTTTAATTTGTGGTATAATTTATAATTTCTATCCGCGGATTTTTTATAGAAGAGAAAATTCTTTGGAGATTATTAAAGATACAGAAGATGAGTTCCGTACTTTATCAAGATATTACTCCCATCGTATCCAAATGCACCGTCAGTTAACGGTTGACCCCATGAGCAATCGATGAAACCTGTCAGTACATCCTGTGTGTACATCGATCAGTCCCGGAATAATCGAATACATCATTAATAATTTTCAAAATACTGCAAATACCATTCATCAACATTGATTACCACAATTCGCTCTTTAATTCTTCAATCATTTCTACCTATTATCGTTACACAAGTGTTCCACCATTATCCAAGGTCATGCTCATTATTCGCAAATGTTGGGCCTTGAGCAAACTCGTGTGCATCACCGCGGGGCATTATATAGTCCTCCAATGCTAATAACATTAAAATAACATTGACCGCTCTCTACCCTAGGCTAACCCAACAAATTGCATTTCCTCTTAAATAATCATCAGTATTCCATATCAATTTTATTTTATACGAATATTAGGAGACGTTTTATCTTGAATCAAGTGAACATTTATTTACGAGAAAAAAACTTTTGGAAGTTACTAGATAAAAAAAATTGTAATTGATTCTAGGATTTATTCCTCTCAAAATGAAGATGAAAATGGGTTAATGTATAATAATTTTTTTTAGGAGATTTTCCAGGGGATTTTGTTCGGGATATTTTTTCCCGGGTGAATAAATCCGGACGCGGATTTTCTTAATTACTTTCGAAACCGACAAATAAATAGGGAGTTTGATAATTTTTATGACATAAAGAGAGTAAATCCCGCGATATTCTTAACGCGTATCGCAGGTGGATCGGGAATTTTCTATATTAACTCATAATACTCGCCTAGGGATCGACAAAATCGAGTTTACAACGGCTCCATATGTTGAAGATCGTAGCACCGCCATTATACCCAACCCCATAAGATACTTTGCAAAGTAACAAAGTCAGAGGCATTAAAATGCGCTCGACTCATCGCCGCGCCGCGATCAGCATTTCCAATAAAGAGAAAAAAAAAAATGAGAAAGAGTAAAGGGAGGAACCAAGGCGATACAAAAAATAATGAGACCACCGGATTTTACGATCGGTAAACTCTAACCGAAAGATCCAATTCCCCTCAGCTGTTGAGTTATTTCCGAGGGAGCATTTACGATCATGGCGCAAGGACCTGTTACCGCTACTCTAGGATACAATTACGTGCAGGAGCATTAAGTACGGAAAGTTACAAGAGATATAGTTACCATTAATCTATTATCAATAACCATTTTACTGTGTTGATTGTCGGCCTGAAGGAGTGGTAGTGAGATACTCTCGGCCATTATGTCGCTAGGTACAAGGGGATGAGGGTATAAAGTTGATGGCGAAGGTGGAGAAACGTTCGGGGGGCTGATCAGTGACAGTAACGACGGCAATAACAGTTGGCCATGCTGATCGGTAGAACGATTTCGCATTGTTCTACATCCTCAGTAAATGTCGTTAGTCCGTCGTCCGCCGGCAGACCGCCAACTTCACTCCCTAATGTCAACACCCAAACAAATCAAACTCCAGTTTCGCACTTATACTCGCTCATTCAAACATCTCAAGTTGCCTATTCAAATAGTCTTGCGAAACCTGCATATTTTGCATGTATAACGTCTTCATTTCCGACTTCCGCTAGTTCCCTTTTTTTTTCAGGTGAAATTTCAGTTTTTTTGATGATTTTTTTGAAGAATCTCGCATCGAGTGGTAAACAATTTTTATTGGGATTTGAGAGGTCCGTATTTGAACCATTTAGAAGACTTTCCAAAGTATTTCTTATGTTTTATTTTGAGACTGCTGAAATTTTCTTAAGATTATTCTTTTGAAAAATCGCGAATCAAGTCCGGAAGTTATAACATGAGATTTTCAGGATTACAATAATGATTTTTAAAAGTCCAACGCAAATCTTTCGAACATCAAATTCAAACGATTAATCCGCCAAGTGGGACCATTGAAATGATAAAATAATAATGTTCCACTTTTTTTATTGAAAGAGTTTGATTATCATCCAATGAAATTTGAATTTTTCCCTCATAAACGCAAAGTGGTGAGCACCTCCCCGAAAAGCATCATCTTCAAATCAATCATACCCCCTGATAAATTCCCCTCGCAATCGAAGAATTCATAAACCCCCACATTAGCCAAAAGGGTCAGCCGATAAAATGCACGTGTCGCCCCGATGCCCACGGCAAGGCGGTCGTCTGACGTGACAGGGGTTCAAACAACCCTGGAGCCTCTTCCACCCCTTCTATCGCTCGTCACACAGCCAAACCCCTCGAAATACATTATTAACCCCAAAAACACAGTGATCTATGTCCACATTCGCCCAGAAAACCACTCTAAACCGCCCAGAACAGCCAATGATCCTCTCCAAACCCAATCCCTAATGAATTCGTAATTCTCTCTCGATTTACTACACCCCTAAAAACACCTGATTGCCATCGAATAAAAAATAATCAATTACAATAAAATAATGGTTCATCTCTAATGATATTAAAAAAAAACTCATTTATTTATCGCAGTAATCGTTATTTCATTCAAATAAATAATTTCTCTGCGCCGATCGACTAAATGAAATCCCTTGGAAAGCATTTCATTATTAACAGAGAGTAGCGGTAATCGACGACATGAGTCGGGCATAAAAATCGAGAGAGAAATAAAATTTTCACAACCAAAATGAAAAAAAAAATCCCTTTTATTTGCATGACGCACGACAAATCGGTTTTTTCCTCTAACCCACATGCACTTTTTCACCCCTTTTCCACCCCTTTTCCACCCCTTTTCCACCCCTTTTCCACCCCTTTTCCACTCCTGGCAGCTGGGGAGGAGTGTCCCCCACATGAGTACGTCGTTCTCACCGTCATATTTTCGGCCAATAAATGGTCAACACATAAATATTTCAAATAGGCGTAAAATCGAAATACCACGGAGTGCTGCATCAGTGTGGCATGATGAATTTACCCCATCCTGTAGCAACGCGTATGTATTCTCCAGATATATTGCATGCGGGCATGAAACCACCGATATTTCCCCGTATTAATGAATATTATACGGTTGTGACAGAAAATTGATGCGGATATAATAATAGATTAATCCTAAACGCATTTATCGCTTGGAAATAATTGATGAGTGGGGGGTGGGGGTAGTTTTTCAGGAATATTCAGGGGTTAATTGATTATTTGTAGAGATTATTGGTGCCTGTGAATATTGTTGGGATTATAACGGTCGTTTTGGGGGGCTATAATCAAATATTGCGAATTTTTTCCAATTTCCCGGCGATTGGGGGTGCATTATTCATGAAGCCACTCGTTTACCGAGATAAATCGTCATGCTCTTTTTGGATGGATAAGAGTCGGGATTATCGAGGGATGAAATATGGAGGTTCCGCGAATTATAATCGGTAATGTGTCTCAATTGAACGCAGATTGAATAATTAGCGGGATAAAATTCTACGTGTCCTGGAATACTAGCATTTTCTTATAGAATATCATTTTGGATTCTCCAGTAAGTTAGAATGATCAATCAGTTCTATCGAAATAAAAATTAAGTAATCACCTTTTGAGATTATACCAACCAGCGATGCATGATATCAGTGTCTCGTTAGTGAGAGATTCTCCGGGCGTATGTTCATTAATTTCCGATGAATCCCGATACTGCAATATTTAAATGCACCATGTGTGGGTCTTCATCATATCTCGCTGTGAAATGGGATAATAATCTCGGTGCAACGTGGCTGCGCACAATGCCAACTTAATTAAATGAATACATTGCTACGATATACCGGTGAAAGTCTTTCCCAAGAGACATTCTCCGTCTCGTTTCCATTCATCATGTGCACGAGGATGCAGCATCAGTGGGTGAATTTCACCTTATCGATACCCATTGAACCGATCGAGGGATGCACCATCCAGCGAAACTCATGCACCTAGGGGAATTACCAATGATTCACGTAAAGGCGCAATTCAACTTTGTTCCTGTGGTACATCACCAAGGCCAACTGTCGAATACTCCAGTCAAAGCATACTCACTTTGCCTCTGGAATTGCGTTAGTTTGTTCATCCCTTCTTGTTTTGCAATAGTTGTATCATTCTGGTCTAGTGATACTCGATTTTCATTGTCGAGGAACAAGCCAGTACTGGCACCGTACCACAGTGAAATAAAATAAACGATTCAGAACTTTTTTTTTTATAAATTCTACAATCTCCCAATTCACGAAATTTGTAATTCGGTATGGTATACATATATCACTCAAACTACAAATTTTTTTCAACATCAAAGGAGGGAATTCATTTATCGATCCACATTCTTGTGTCGTAACAGGAAAAGATTGGATAGGATTTGGCAAAAGTCAGGGTTTTAAAAAATTAAGTTTTCAACTGAACAAGATGATGGAATGTGAATTGAAATAATTTCTGTATTTTTGATTAATACTCATCTATGGACAATCAGTTATTTGTTATCTTCGTGAACATGTGGATTGCAAAACGGTTTCATCTGAGTTTAATCATCCAGGCAGCCGTACTTTTGAAGCAATTCTCTTCGATTCATATAAAATCTAGACGGATTCCAGAGCCGCGAACAGATCCTCACTTCCAAGGGTTGGCACTTTCTTCTGCAAGCCTCTTGCGATGAAAAATGATTTTCTGCTGGATTATAACAGCCTCCACCATGGAATGGAACACAGGTCTCTTCCTCCTGATCAAAACGCCAACCAATCGCCAACGACATACATTGCCGGAGAGGTTCAGGAAGCAGGCATACTGGATCTTCAAGGCAAAAAGTAAATTTTGTAATTCATGAACATAATAAATCAATTCAGCAGCGGAGAATTATTTCGGAAATATCTCTGGAATCAATTGATATTTTCATGACAAAACGTTATTTCTCTCTATATCAATTAGTTCTGTAAAGGTTTCAACAAAAAATCAATTATTCCTCCTGCTTTCGAAAGCATTTCCGAGAGCTCACCGAAAATTTAATTCATCTCATTTAACCGCTTCCCAATGAGACGAATTATCACTCTCCTTTAATAATCAATATAGAAAAATATGATGCTTACCACGACGTATAACTGCTGATGTTTCCTTCGGAACATTGCTCAATGCAATAATTAGAAGTACAATAAGCGCCTGCTTCATCTTGTATCTTTTAAATTCTCTGTGACTTTATGACGACTAGTTCCAACGAGTCCCAAAGTTGTACTAACAAAAATCGTCTGCCACTATTTATAGGCACCAATAAGGCAACAACTGTTGTACATAGTGTCAAAAATTAGAAACGTTAAAATTCAAACCGCAATAACCATTAAATATCATTAATATCGCATTGGCTGACGTCCATACATACATCTGAGGAAACATTATTATCTAAATTGTTTGCTGCGAGGAGTACAAAATTATTAGACATCCTTATCTTAATCCATTGAATGACGGCCTATTATCTATAGTAATTGGAATATTAATTAAGTGTATTGTATATACAGGAATGCCACTTGGGCTTGACGGAATATTTTCACCTAATGGACAACTGTCGTTAATGTTTCCAAAATAATTGCTGCATCTCGTCAATTCAATTCCCAATGTAATTCAGATATTAATAAACCGCTCCAGCCCAAAAAAAAAAAAACCATTGCCAACGAAAAATAGCTCTTACTCTGAAAAACAATTCTCGAAGAAAACAGGTGGCGACTGGTTCACCTTGAGGCTGAAAAAATTACACCTGTCGACAGTGGTTAAGAAAAAAAAAAGCACCCTTTTCCATTCATCCTCCATTTTCTTTATTAAGCCCTCAGTCCCCCGAAAAGGTTTCACTCAGAGTTACTGGGTAAAATAAACTGAAACGACATTTGACGACACTTTAACTTGGCAGAATGTACATCAGGCGAGCAGCCGCGTGTAAATACGTACCAGATAATAAAAAAAGAAGTGAGCAACAAAAATACAGTAATAATAATTCTGGACTGAAGCTCGTTTGCGCATCAGTTGTTTCTCGCACCCTCTGGAGCACTGACAAGACGAGTTAATTGCCCGTGAAATCAAGAATGTTTTAGCCCGCGTTACAATTTATCGTCGGTAGTCTGGAATACGAGGGTACAAAGGGACTTGTACTTTTTTACATTACATCCTTTTTTTCACCTTTTTCAGGTGTATATTTTTTTTTTCATTCACCCTGGCCACATCATCACCGACAAATTAACGGCTTAAGTAATGGTCGGTATCATTACGAGGGGAACGGAAGAATGAAGGTGAAAAAAAATGTACAGGAGAGGAGTATCAAAGAGAAAGTCAGAGTTGCACCGGAACGTTTTGTAGGTGGAAAAATGTATTGGGCTCCAGCAATTACAGCTTGTACACTGAAGGATCAGTGGCACGTACACTGTAAAAAAATGTTGAGTTATTTTCTTACTGATTGTGCCACTAAAGTTCGGAGGTTTCACCACTTTCAGGCTAAATTCAACTTTGACTTCACTTCAATTCTCAATGGAATGAGAAAAAAATTATATGAATCTTCACTTTCTACATTCATTTCAATCATTCGGATTTTTCTTCATCTTCCCGAACTCATTGATTTGGAAAAATTAATGAAATCAAAAATTCACTTCAGGAATCGATTAAATGTTGAACTCGTCAATTTCTTGATCGCAATTGTAGTAATATTCCATTCGTTTTGTCTCCCTTTTATACCTATGAATTTTAGGCATAGAAATTTCAATTGTAATCACTCCTCGTTATCGCTCTCGATATCTCATACAATTTTTGCAGGTAATAAAAAATGCAAATATTTTATTGAGATAATAATGGAAGAGTATTCACATCATCGTAGGTTCCCATCAATGAAAAAATAAAATTCAAACTAAACATAATAGCGAAATGTTTCACAGTTTTTGCCATAATTTCTCAGTAATTTCATTAATAGCAATAGTTCATAGTCACATATTTATTAATATCGTCAGCATTTCATATATTGAAAAACGGCTGCACCTACTTTCTATATCACAGGCAGTCGTTCTTCCGAAGCTTTTCCAATCTAGCGTTTAATTGCCCAGGGAACATAACCGATGATTTAATCTCGTTGCAGATTCTGACTACGTCTGGTAGACAAATATCTCTGCATTCTGCTTTAGTTGCAAAACTATTTTGTCCAGGAAAATAACAGTCTGGATTCATGAATTCAATACAGGCCCCTTTGTCCACATCAAAACGCCACTCGAGCGAGGCGGTTTTGCATTCTACTTGAAGTGTAGGAAGCAAGCATCTCGTTGCTTCAAAGCAAAAAGTAATTTTTTTCATTTATCAACATTACGAATCAATCTAATAACACCCTAAGAAAAAAACAGGTAAGTTGACAGGTCAATCTTCGGTATTTCATTTTTTTTCGAAAAGATGTCCAGAAATTCGAATTTTTGAAATAATCTTTTTTGTTGTTGTTAATGAGTTGTATGATAAAAGCTTCCGGGAAAATTTCATTACCTATCTCAGTTTCGGGGATTGCAGAGAAATTCACCTAATCGAAAAACTACGTCAACTTATCTCTTTTAATCAGTTCTCAACAGAATTAATGATTTTTATCTTTTAATAGATAATGTAAAATTATAAGATTCTCACTGCGAGATACAGCTGCTGATGTTTCTTGCAGACCACAGCTCAACGCAACAATTACAAGTACGATCGCCGGGTTCATGTTCTGCTTTTTGATGTCTCTTCAATTCAATCGCCAGAAGTTTCAACGAAGTTTGAGATTTTTGCTGATATTCTCTCTTATTTATATCGATTCATTGCATTATCTATGCCAAGGCTAGAAATGTCAATAACTTCCTCCGTTTTATTAAATTGAGTAAACATCACCTTTGGAAATTTTTTATTGTTATCTGAGATCTATGTATTCAGGTGAAAATAATAACGAAAACTATGGGCCTTCAATTTCTTGAGTAGATATGAATTATTTTTCATAACACTCGCCAGTACCTCTGCCTCATTTACGAATTATCAAAAAGTTATAAGAATTTATTAAAAAATTGAAGAACTTGTTTTCGACAGGTAGGATTATAGCAGTCGCCTTCGGCTTGTGCTATTAACCTCCCTCACACCAAACATCACTTTTCCGTACTTGTTATGAAATATGCTATTTTAAAATCTATTGCACTGCGAGAAGTAAGGGGTGATAAAAATATGCTTGTCTCGATCCATTAAAATTCGAAGAAGGCCATAATCCATTTCCTATGGTAATGGCAACATTTATTCAGTAAAATTATATACAGAAATGAAACTTAAATTTAATGAAATATTTTCAACAACTGGGCACATATCGTTAATGTTTCTCCAGAGCCTTCGTGAGTAATTCGTTCATAGATGTCAATAATATTCGTGGGTCTTCGACGAGTCCAGCCCCAACCATCGCTGCCGTGAAAAGCTGAGGAAGAATTGATAAATTTATATATAATTTTAATTTCAATTTTTGGCGAAGATGCTTAGACACACCCTACTAAAATTAATAATTCTGTAAGCAAAATGGTAGAACTACCTGTTGAGTTAAGAGTTCGGCTAATTTCGGATCTGACTCAATCAGAGTTGTAAGTTTTTTGATGATGGGATGATTGAGATTGATTTCCAGGCGTGGCTGCAGTAGGTTGTACCTCGTTTCTTCATTGAGCTGATGGCTCTGGGTCCTGATGAAGTGCCTCGCACTGGCCATGTCCTGGACCGTGATAACACAAGGATGAGATTCCAAACGATTCGTTGTTCTCACTTCAGACGCTTTTTTTGATAGTACACTCTTCATATATCCAAGAACTTTGTCGACCTCCTGCTTATTAATCGCATCGATTGTGCTCTCCTTCGTTGACTCTACATCGTCTCGCATCTCTTTTTCCACAGATGTGAGGGAACGCGAACCAAACCGACCTAACTGCATAAGAACTAACTCATCGTAAGGTTCGTAGCAGAAAAGGACCTCGTAATTTCGTTTCTTGAATGATTCGTAGTAAGGGGATTGCTCTGCTAGAATTCTACTAGGTGCAGATAAGTAATATATGTGCTTTTGCTCCTGGGAGATACCCTCGCAGTATTTAGGCAGGCTAACAAGCTCTCCAGCGGGCTTCGCCGATGACTCGAACCGCAGGAGTTTACCAATGGCTTCTTTTTCGTTGTGGTCGTGACTTGTCACAATCCCCTCTTTCAGGAATAATCCATAATCCTTGTAAAATTCGTTATACTCCTCCGGTTGTTTTGTCGATCTCTCATTGAGATATTTCAGAATTCGTGCTGTCAAAACTGTTCTTAATTTACTGATGAGAGCGCTATTCTGGAGCAATTCACGGCTCAAGTTCAGGGGAATGTCTTCGGAGTCAACGACACCTTTAACGAAACGCAGCCACTTTGGCAATAAATTGTCGGCTTTGCTCTTTATCAGTACTTTTCTGCTGTAAAGGGAAATCCCCACTGATGTGTCTCTGCTCAGTTCGAAGAGCCCTGGCTTGTCGTCTGGAAAGTATAGGAGGGCTCGAATACTGAGGGGCACATCGGCGGTATAGTGGAGGATGAACCTAGGGGCATCGTACGAATTCGAGATGAAACGATAAAACTCGGCATGTTGCTCGGCTGTTACTTCCTTGGGGTCTAGCATCCATATCGGTTGAATCACATTCACACGTTTGCCATTCACGAAAATTGGACTGCCCACAAAGTTACTGTACTTTTTGATAATTTGATTAATAGTCTCCTCGTCACTGAATTCTCTAGAGTCACTCTTGAGGTGCATCACGATTTTAGTTCCTGGTTGAACTCCTTCTGCCTCAGATATTTCATAAGTCCCCGATCCGGTGGACAACCAATGTAAACCTTTGGCATCCTTCTCATAGGACTTGGTGAACACTTCAACCTTGTCAGCAACCATGAATGCGCTATAAAATCCTACACCGAATTGCCCAATTATACTGGCAGTGTCCCCTGCTGCCTGTTTCTCCTTCAACTGCTCCAGAAAAGCCTTCGAGCCAGATCGCGCAATAGTCCCCAAGTTGGACACCAATTCCTCTCGAGTCATCCCAATTCCTGTATCCTGAATAGTGAGTGTTCGATTTTGCTTATCAGTGACGATATGTATCTCTAACTCCCGGCCGCCCCCTTCTTCGGGGGATAAATTTCTGCTAAGCCTGAGATATCGTAATTTCTCCAGAGCATCACTGGCGTTAGATATCAACTCCCGAACAAAAACCTGAAGAAAAATTAAGCACGATTGATATTTCCAGCGTTACTTTTAATTAATTCAGATCATATTGGAAGTACTAGAGTTTTCACACCTCTTTATCAGAGTACAAAGACTTCGCGACGATTTCCAAAAGCATCTGAGTTTCTGACTGGAACTCATGCTGAGCACTTTGCCCTGGAAACCAATAAATAAAACGACTAAATAACTTTCTCGAGTTTCCTTATTGTCATATTGTCAGGATAAATGAATATGCTGATAACAAAACAAAAAAAAATTTCGGTGAGTTGGTTAGAGATGGACGTTTAGAGTCAAAAATTTTCCTTGCCGGTGCCCTACCGTGCATCTCGACTTCCTTCTCATATTTTTTGCCGATTTTACAAATACCACTAACAAATGTTACCTGTTGGTTTCTCCGTATTTTTTACGATATTATGATACTCCACGTCCGTTTCACTCTCAGGGGCTGCCTGAGAAGTAAGAAGTCGGGCATTTCTCAAAGGAGAAGAAAATCCTGGAAATACACAAATGGTTAACCTCGCAAGCAACCTAAACCTCTTGTCAACGAGGTCAACTGTCATCTCCAGTAATGACAGTAGATGCAAATAGGAAATTGATATACCTGAAGATTGTAGTAATCGACATCCAGAGAATCTAAATTTGTGGTTGGAATTAATCGAATTGGAAACCAATTTTCCACACTTGATCACATGCCGCAGTCGACAAACAGCCGCCATTTTTATTTGGATAATGAACTTTGATTTTTTCGCGGGAGTGCGGGGAACAGAGAGGATTGACTAGAGTAGAGGATCAGTTCTGGGGGTTCGAGTAACCCCAGCGGCATCGTCGTACTGCACCCCAAGAGAGGGAGGGCGCCACACGCAATGGGGGTGTTGTCCCGTCATGAAAATCGAGGAGGTATTGACTGAAATTTAAAAAATTCGAAATTTTCAAAAAAGTGTCAGAGAAGCATGAAAATCGAGCAGGTATTCACTGAAATTTGAAAATTCGAAATTTTTGAAAAAGTATCAGGAGAGCATGAAAATCGAGGAGGTATTGACTGAAATTCGAAATTTTCAAAAAAGTATCAGGGGAGCATAAAAATCGAGGAGGTATTCACTGAAATTTGAAAATTCGAAATTTTTGAAAAAGTATCAGGAGAGCATGACAATTGAGGAAGTATTCACTGAAATGTGAAAATTCGAAATTTTTGAAAAAGTATCAGGGGAACATGAAAATTGAGGAAGTACTCACTGAAATTTGAAATTTTTCGAAAAGTATCAGGGGAGTATGATAATCGAGGAGGTATTCACTGAAATTGAAAAATCTAAAATTTTCAGAAAATAAAATTAACCCCGTCAATTGGTCCCTTTGACAGCGGGACTGCTACTGAGGCAGTTACCGAGTCGGCTAACGGGCAGACCCCCCACCTTTGGGTGCGGCCCCCTCTTTCTCTTGGGGTGAGGTACTCCCCCAGAACTGAGCCACTCATTGGGGGTTTGAGTGACCCCACCGGCAGTACTTCACCCCAAAAGAGGGGGCCGCACCCAATGGTGGGGTGTCTGCCCGTTAGCCGACTCGGTAACTGCCTCAGTAGCAGTCCCGCTGTCAGAGGGACCAGTTGACGGGGTTAATTTTATTTTCTGAAAATTTTAGATTTTTCAATTTCTGTGAATACCTCCTCGATTATCATGCTCCCCTGATACTTTTCGAAAAATTTCAAATTTCAGTGAGTACCTCCTCAATTTTCATGTTCCCCTGATACTTTTTAAAAAATTTCGAATTTTCACATTTCAGTGAATACTTCCTCAATTGTCATGCTCTCCTGATACTTTTTCAAAAATTTCGAATTTTCAAATTTCAGTGAATACCTCCTCGATTTTTATGCTCCCCTGATACTTTTTTGAAAATTTTAAATTTTTCAATTTCAGTGAATGCCTCCTCGATTTCCATGCCCCCCTGATACTTTTTTGAAAATTTTGAATTTTCTAATTTCAGTGAATACCTCCTCGATTTTCATGACGGGGCGACACCCCTATTGTGTGTGGCGCCCTCCCTCTCTTGGGGTGCAGTACTACGATGCCGCTGCGGTCACTCCAACCCCCAGAACTGAGCCTCTACTTCAGCCAATCCTCTTTGGACCCCACCGGCATCGTAGTACCTCACCCCAAGGGAGAGAGGGTGCCACATGCAATGCTGCCCGTCAGCCGACTCGATAACTGGTGGCATCCCTCGGATGGAGTAAATCACCATCGTTTTTGGGTATTGTTAACTCCTAGAGCTGCGCCTCTGCCCTAGTCTATTCTCTTGGGCATTTCTGTTCTTCCATTTCGTTTCCTCGTCGAAACTGTTGTGTTACATTTTAGCGTTATCCACGTTTCGTGTCACCACGACTTAAAAGTAAGTAATAAATTTGAAAGAAATTATTGAAAATATTAGGGATAACAACATCTCTATTGTCTGCGGCAATTAAATCAACGTTTAATCAATGGGCATTTATGAAATTCACATAGATGTTTACGGATCCGTAAACGTGCTCTGAAAACTTCTTGTCTGTGATATTATTCCATTATTCCGCTCTCAATCTTTGTTTATAATTATTGATAAATTATGTTGGAGTGTTTATATATTAATTTTTCTATGATGATCACAATTTATCACCATCTTTCGACTGAGTGGCAGTGATGTTAAATTATTTCCTGATGATTCAGAAAGAATTATCGAAAATGTTGGAGAGTTGAAGTGAGGTTAATCATTGGTGTTTTTTCGAATTTTTCACTTAGAATGCGTTACGTGGCCGCTTATCTCTTGGCTGTCCTTGGTGGCAATGCCTCACCTTCGCAAGACGCCATCGAGAAGATCCTCTCCTCGGTGGGAATTGAATCTGATGCTGAGAGAGTCAAGAAGATCATTGGTGAACTCAATGGCAAATCAATCGATGATTTGATTGCACAAGGTACCGAAATTATTTACTACTCACTGAAATGGTGTGTTTAGGGGTGTATAGGTTTGATTTAATTCGGTTCCATTCCCAGGCCGTGAGAAACTCTCATCTATGCCGGTTGGAGGTGGTGCTGCTGCGCCAGCTGCTGCCGCTGCTGGTGGAGCTGCCCCAGCTGCTGAGGAGAAAAAAGGTAAAATATTGCTCTTCAATTAAATCATTTAATTATTATTTTTTTTTTATTTCATTTATTTCCATTGCCAAGTGAAAGAGAAAGGAGAGTCAAATTTGAATGTTTTTAATTTCCAATTATCTTAATGGAATTTAATGGATGTAATGGAATAGTCAAATTTGACTCCTTTTGATTTTGAAAGCATAGTTTGTATAATTGTTTGGAATTCCGCATTCCACAATTCAATTTCTAAAATGATGACTAAACATCCCGTACCATCTTTCGTCTGAGTTACAGTGATGGCTATTTTTCCATCTGACACACACTCCCTTGATCTGAGCAAAACTCAAATAATATTCTTGTTTACTAAAAAATCTGTTCGATTGTGTAAAATTGCAGAAGACAAGAAGGCCGCCAAAGAGGAATCAGAGTCTGAGGACGATGACATGGGATTCGGTCTCTTTGACTAAAGAACTACCAGACAGCAAAAAAAACAGAATATTCACTAGCAGAAGTGCAACAATCTGCTTCATTCAATACGTTGTACGTCGTTGTATCTACTGCTGATGAATAAATGATTTTTTCACGATTCATTGATGTATTTCTACGTAAAATTCAGTCAGAACTTCCACTCGACAAAAAAACTAGTTATCTCTTTGTAAATCGTAATTACCACTGCATCTCTATTGCCTATTTTTTTTTAAATAAATTTCAGGGGAAAAATTTCGAAATTGAATGACGGCCTCCACCACGTTGCATCGCACGCGCCTTTTCCGATCACGTGACAATAATTCCACGTAGCTTGCGCTTAAAATTATGGCCATGAAAAAATTCAAATTCCGATGGGATGCATCATCGCGAGAAAAACTAGTCCATCAATATTCCCCGTATTTTCCAACAAAAGTTGCTAAACAAGGACATAAATTAACCAATGAAAAACTCATCAACGAGTCGTTTGAGTTTTTTTCAGAAGGAGAACAATAAATCTAAAAAAAAACATTCGTCTCGGATCATTGCCAAGTGCATTCCTATTATAAACAAATTATAAACAACCACATCAGACGGATAAATATCAAATGATCACATCTGATACAAGAACTTCAAAATCAGCGTCATTTTTTTCTCAATTTTACGAACCACCGGAGGAGAGCATTTTTGTGAAGAAATTATAAAAATTCTTGTAATCATTCTTTTCAACTTCCAAAAGTTATAATCCATAAATATAATCTACATGTACCAGGTCTAAATGAAATCCACGAAAAGGAAGCGTCGTGGTAATTCCATTCACTAGGATTCACCCACCGATTCCTCTCCCCTGCACCCCATGGAGAAACTAGAATAAAGAGGGGAGCAGCACTACTTCGAATTGAGTCCCTCTCTATCACCGAGTACCCAGAGGCCCCAGTTGGTGGGTCTTGATGGGTATTGGTATCTAGTAGTATCTGTCGGTATTCTTGCGCTTGTGCTGAAAAGCTCGTGCGTCCTCTTCACCGCGTCCCCCATTAAAAATCAATAACCCATCATTGATATCTGAATGACAAGTGGTCGGGCCGCAGTTGATCGCCCCCTCGTCACCAGAAGCCACGAAAAATCAAAAATCCTTAACCAAGTGGAACTACTTTCTTCCATAAAAAGGGGGGCGTGCACAATTGTCGGCCATGATAGGTGTCAGTGGCAAGCAGTGACGGCATTCGTTGCTCTTTGCGTCAGTCGGTTTTCTGAAGCTGATGACTGAATTAAAGCACCACTGTATCATCGTCATCCCTAAAAAAGTTGAAAACAAATCATTCAATCTGCGCCAACGGTAGCTAGTGGATAATACCCGGAATTCCCGTATATCAGTTGAATAATCCATACTAACAACACCCCAAGGAAAATAATCGAGCCAAAGGGAGATTGATCAAAAGCACCGTTAAAATGACGCAGCTACTCCCCATAAGGTTTCAGGAGCATCTCCAGGTAAGTGACCTGTTTTGTCAAATTCAGTGTCCGGTCGATTTCACGGAATTTTTAACCCCCGCGATCCTGATAAGCGATAAGTGGCGAGGAGGGAGAGGGGAAAGAATTGTAGAGAATGGAGTGAGTTTAAACGTGAGTCAGAGAGAGATGGAGTTGAGTCGGCGTCGACCGACATCCGCCATCGACGTGGTTCACCACGTTCTTTTCCTGCTCATTTTTTTTTCCACCACACCTGTCTACCTTATTCCCTTCGATGATTAAAGAGAAAAAAAACCATTGGTAATCGCTGGAATTTCTATCATCCTCGACATCCTCGATTTCTGGGGGGGAATGAATTTATCAATTGACGTAGAGTTGACAGCTCCCTCCATTGACTCCTTTCGCCAACTCTCGACACTCCTATTTATCCTCAATATATCGGGCTTTTTTTTCGTCATTCTCACTTAAATGAATGCCGATTACTCGGGCATCGATCGACCTGGAACATTCTCATCATCGTGGTATTATTGAACTGTCCATTATTGTTAGGAGTAGATTTTTCCATAAAGCATCAGGGGGAAGATGGAGTTAATGTTGCTGTGTTTAAAAAAAAAAAGAGGGGCCACGTCTACTCTACACGCACACACGCCCCTCCGCCTACATTCTTCAAATGATTATTTTATTTTCCACACTGTGAAACAATATGTATTTTTTAAGGGCCATTTGCGCTGGTGCAGCTGGTGATAAAGCCACAATGGATTTGATATTTGAGTTTTTATCATTAATAGTTAATGCTCAGGGTTATTTCGCCCGAAAATCTCAGAACACTCGCCAATTCGGGTTAATTCGTGAATCACTCCAATGAATGATTTCACATCGTCCTGACGAAATTCTATTTTCCAGCTTACAGCTGTCGGCATTAACGCCAACAATGTCAGCTTCAATACCCTCACAATGGAGTCAGACAAATTTATCTGTGTACGTGAAAAAGTTGGGGACACGTCGCAGGTTGTTATTATTGACATGAACGACTCGGCGAATCCAATAAGAAGGCCGATATCCGCTGATTCGGCAATAATGAATCCAGCGAGCAAAGTAATAGCACTGAAGGCGCAGAAGACACTCCAGATATTCAACATCGAGATGAAATCGAAAATGAAGGCCCACACGATGACTGAGGAGGTTGTCTTCTGGAAGTGGATATCGCCGAATACATTGGCACTTGTGACAGAGCAGTCAGTTTATCACTGGTCCATGGAGGGTGATTCAACGCCACAGAAGATGTTTGATAGGCATGCCTCGTTGAATGGCTGTCAGATAATCAATTATCGTACAGATCCAAAGCAAACGTGGCTGCTGTTGATCGGTATATCGGCCCAGCACAATCGAGTTGTTGGGGCAATGCATCTCTACTCGGTGGAACGAAAGTGCTCACAACCCATTGAGGGACACGCTGCATCCTTCGCTCAATTTAAGATGGAGGGCAATGCTGAGCCCAGCAATCTCTTTTGCTTTGCTGTGAGAACAGTTCAGGGGGCCAAACTGCATATTATCGAGGTGGGACAGCCACCAGCTGGCAATACAGCTTTTCCCAAGAAGGCTGTTGATGTTTTCTTTCCACCTGAGGCTGGCAGTGATTTTCCAGTTGCCATGCAGGTCAGCTCCAAGTACGATGTCATCTACCTCATCACCAAGTACGGATACATTCACATGTACGATATTGAGTCTGCCACGTGTATATTCATGAATCGTATATCGGGGGAGACTATCTTTGTTACTGCACCTCATGAGGCTTCTGGGGGTATCATCGGTGTCAATCGCAAGGGCCAAGTTTTGTCTGTATCGGTCGAGGAGGAGAATATCATACCTTATATCAATGGCGTACTTCAGAATCCAGAGTTGGCACTTAGGATGGCCGTTAGGAATAATTTGTCTGGCGCTGAGGATCTTTTTGTCAGGAAATTTAATATGCTTTTCCAGAATGGACAGTATGCCGAGGCCGCTAAGGTCGCTGCTAATGCGCCTAAGGGGATTTTGCGAACACCAGCGACTATTCAACGATTCCAGCAGGTCAGTTCTTATTTAATTAAATATGTTTGATAGTTAGTGGGGGGCGATTATTGTGTTTTGTGTAAAAAATTTGTTTAAAAAATTGATGAAGAACGCTGCGCATTTGTGAAACTTCACCATTTGCAGTTTCTATTGGAAATGAATAACAAGAGTTAATCAAAATGAAATAACTACTTTAAATGATTCTAGGTACCTGCTACTCAAGGTCAAACATCTCCCCTTCTCCAGTACTTTGGAATTTTGTTGGATCAGGGCCAGCTGAACAAATACGAGTCCCTGGAGCTGTGTCGTCCAGTGCTTGTCCAAGGTCGTAAACAACTCCTCGAGAAATGGTTAAAGGAGGATAAACTCGAGTGCAGCGAGGAGCTGGGAGACCTAGTGAAACAGGCAGATCCAACCCTCGCCCTGAGTGTCTACCTGCGTGCAAATGTTCCCAACAAAGTGATCCAGTGTTTCGCTGAGACTGGACAATTCCAGAAAATTGTACTCTACGCCAAGAAGGTGTCTTACACTCCTGACTACATATTTCTATTGAGAAATGTCATGAGAATAAATCCAGATCAAGGTGTTGCTTTTGCTCAAATGCTGGTGCAGGACGACGAGCCCCTGGCTGACATAAATCAAATTGTCGACATCTTCATGGAGCAGAATATGGTGCAGCAGTGCACAGCTTTTCTCCTTGATGCACTTAAGAACAATCGTCCCAGTGAGGGAGCCCTGCAGACTCGTCTCCTCGAGATGAATCTCATGTCTGCACCTCAAGTTGCTGATGCCATTCTTGGCAATCAAATGTTCACTCATTATGATCGTGCACACGTGGCACAACTATGTGAAAAAGCAGGACTACTTCAACGTGCACTGGAGCATTACACCGATTTGTACGACATCAAACGTGCAGTTGTACATACTCATTTACTCTCTGGTGACTGGCTTGTTGGTTTCTTCGGCACACTCTCTGTCGAGGACTCCCTCGAGTGCCTGAAGGCCATGCTCACCGCTAACATTCGACAGAATCTGCAGATCTGCGTTCAAATAGCAACAAAATACCACGAACAACTCACCACAAAAGCACTTATCGATCTTTTCGAGGGCTTCAAATCGTACGAGGGGCTGTTTTACTTCCTCGGATCCATTGTTAACTACAGTCAGGACCAAGAAGTGCACTTCAAGTACATTCAGGCGGCATGCAAGATTGGACAGATCAAAGAGGTCGAGCGTATCTGTCGGGAGAGCCACTGTTACAATGCTGAGAGGGTCAAGAACTTCTTGAAAGAGGCCAAACTGTCCGATCAACTGCCTCTCATCATCGTTTGCGATCGCTTTGATTTTGTTCATGATCTTGTTCTCTATTTATACCGGAATAATTTGCAGAAGTACATCGAGATTTACGTACAGAAGGTGAGAATTCTTTTCATGTATTTAAATAATAATATTCGATGTTCTGTTATTAACCTCATAGACCACGTATTATCTTTCGAACGTTATCTGGGTTTCCTCAAAATCTTTATCAACTCAAATAGTCATTCAGTAGTATTTCATACTATACGATAAAGAATATATAGGGAATTCTTTAAAATTTTTGAAGTATTTTTACTGGAGCTTATCGAGAGATTACAATCCGGCCGAATTTTATGATTATCGCGAAAACGAATACTAAAAAAAAACAACAAAATTTTCTTTCACATTTTCCCTCTGATTTCCTTACCTTCCGGATAATTTAATTATTATCAGGGATCGCATAATTGAAATCATAATATTCTCCATAAATTCAAGAATATAAATGACTCTTTGACCCTACAATCTGAATTATGCAAAACTGCGTAAAAACTCTGACTGAGAATAATTCTACACTTAACGGAATAATTCCAAATCGAGTCATCGCGCTCAATAACGCAATAATTTCCACAACAAATAATGTGAAAAGAAACTGCCCAGAAAAACTCTCTCAGATCATTTCTAAACGACAGCACTGCGATAAGTCAACTTAAGCCATCCTTACATGAATCCCTAGATGAATGAGGAATCGATCCACTAATCCCTCAACAAATCACCCATAACCCATTGAATCCGCTTTCAGGTGAATCCATCACGTCTGCCAGTAGTGGTGGGAGGTCTCCTGGACGTCGACTGTTCAGAGGACATAATAAAAAACCTAATCCTCGTTGTTCGAGGTCAATTCTCCACTGACGAGCTGGTCGAAGAAGTGGAGAAACGCAATCGCCTGAAGCTCCTTCTCCCCTGGCTGGAGTCACGTGTCCACGAGGGCTGCATCGAGCCAGCGACGCACAATGCCCTTGCCAAAATCTACATCGACAGTAACAACAATCCCGAGAGATTTCTCAAGGAGAATCAATTCTACGACAGTCGAGTCGTTGGAAAATACTGTGAAAAACGTGATCCACATTTGGCGTGCATTGCTTACGAGCGTGGCCAGTGTGATCGTGAATTGATAGCTGTTTGCAATGAGAACAGTTTATTCAAGAGTGAAGCTAGATATCTGGTGAGACGCCGAGATCCTGATTTATGGGCTGAGGTCCTCCTCGAGAGCAATCCTTACAAACGCCCTCTCATTGATCAAGTGGTGCAGACAGCTTTGTCCGAGACCCAAGATCCAGAGGACATTTCGGTGACAGTCAAGGCCTTCATGACAGCCGATCTGCCCAATGAGCTCATCGAGCTCCTTGAAAAAATAGTCCTCGACAGTTCTGTCTTTAGTGATCATCGTAATCTTCAAAATCTTCTGATTCTAACAGCCATCAAGGCTGATCGCACTCGAGTTATGGAGTACATAAATCGTTTGGACAACTATGACGCCCCAGACATTGCTAACATTGCCATCAATAACGAGCTGTATGAGGAGGCCTTTGCAATCTTCAAGAAATTCGACGTTAATACTTCGGCCATTCAGGTGCTAATTGAGCAGGTGGCGAATCTCGACAGAGCTTATGAGTTCGCTGAGAGATGTAATGAGCCAGCGGTTTGGTCCCAGTTGGCCAGAGCTCAGTTGCAGAAAGGCCTCGTCAAGGAGGCCATCGACAGCTTCATCAAGGCTGACGATCCCTCAGCGTACATGGACGTTGTCGAGACAGCACATCGTACCTCCCACTGGGAGGATCTCGTACGCTACCTTCAAATGGCAAGAAAGAAGGCACGTGAGTCCTTCATCGAGAGTGAACTCATCTATGCTTATGCACGCACCAACAGGCTCGCTGATCTCGAAGAATTCATCTCTGGACCAAATCATGCGGACATCCAGAAAATTGGGGACAGGTGTTTCGATGACAAGATGTACGATGCTGCCAAACTTCTTTATAACAATGTCTCAAATTTTGCAAGGCTTGCGATAACTCTGGTGCACCTCAAGGAGTTCCAGGGAGCTGTTGACTCGGCCAGAAAGGCCAACTCCACCAGAACCTGGAAGGAGGTGTGCTTCGCTTGTGTGGACAGTGGAGAATTTCGTCTTGCCCAAATGTGTGGCCTTCACATCGTTGTGCATGCTGATGAGCTCGAGGACCTGATCAATTATTACCAGGATCGTGGACACTTCGAGGAGCTGATTAATTTGCTGGAGGCTGCTCTGGGTCTGGAGCGCGCCCACATGGGAATGTTCACAGAGCTGGCTATTTTGTACAGCAAGTACAAGCCCCAGAGAATGCGTGAGCATCTCGAGCTCTTCTGGTCACGTGTCAATATACCCAAAGTGTTGAGAGCTGCTGAGTCGGCTCATCTGTGGGCTGAACTTGTGTTCCTTTACGATAAGTACGAGGAATATGATAACGCGGTTTTGGCAATGATGCAGCATCCCACTGAGGCGTGGAGGGAGGGACACTTCAAGGATGTTATCACTAAAGTCGCTAATGTCGAGCTGTACTACAAAGCCATTCAGTTTTATCTGGAATATAAGCCTCTGCTGCTGAATGATATTTTGCTGGTTCTGTCACCCAGAATGGACCACACGAGGTCAGTGGCTTATTTCACGAGAACTGGGCATCTACAACTTGTCAAGCCCTATCTCAGATCTGTACAGGCGTTGAATAATAAGGCTATTAATGAGGCATTGAATGGATTACTCATTGATGAAGAGGATTACCAGGGACTAAGAACGTCAATCGATGCTTTTGACAACTTTGATAATATTGCTCTTGCTCAACAACTCGAGAAACACGAGCTCATTGAGTTCAGGAGAATCGCAGCTTATTTGTACAAAGGGAACAACAGGTGGAAGCAGAGTGTTGAGCTTTGTAAGAAGGATCGATTGTTCCGCGATGCTATGGAGTATGCTGCGGAGTCGAGAAATGCCGAGGTCGCTGAGGAATTACTTGGGTGGTTCTTAGAGAGGGACTCTAAGGATTGCTTTGCTGCTTGTTTGTTTTACTGTTACGATTTACTACATCCAGATGTTATACTGGAGCTCGCATGGAGACATCGCATTCTACACTTTGCTATGCCCTATCTCATTCAAGTTATGAGGGAATACATCACGAAGGTTAGTACTTTTATTTCATTTGGGGAAATTCAATTCCGGGGGTAACACCCAGATTTGTGAATTCGGGTGGATTATAGCTCACAATCTGACTACTTTCCCAATTTAAATCCCATCAGAAAGTTGCTTTTCAGACATGCGATGATATCATTTTCAACTGCTCAACCTCTCACCTTTTCTTCTTCGCTGTCATATATTTTTGCAATCCAAAAAAAGTTCAGTGACCAAGTAGTAACACGATATGGCGATGTAGCTTTTATCATAAAAGATTAATCATCTGTTTTGTCCAATATTTAATTGGATATTTTTCAATCATTATGAGGATGAAAAAGAATATCAATAAAAAAACCTGTTAAAATATTAAATCGAATTATCACTCAATTATTGATGGAAATTTTTCAAATGAAGATGAATTTTTTTTCCCCTGAGGAAGGGCACCTCTTTTTTCTCGTAATGAATGCAGATTGATCTGAATTAATGAATTAATTTACGAGATATGAATATTTTAAAAGTGTCTGAAATCACCATTTCGCCTTGCCCGTTTCTCCTAAGAGTGTAAGGGCGAAAGAAATCGATGGAATAATTCTCTTAGTGATAATAATAAATCTTTCTTCTCTGCGATAATGAAAACAGGTTGACAAGTTGGAAGAGGCCGAGAGCAGACGTGTAGAGGAAACCGATCACCAGGAGCACAAGCCAATGATAATGCCTGAGCCTCAGCTAATGTTAACCGCTGGACCGGGTATGATGGCACCTGGTTATGCACCACAAGCAGTATACGGTAATCCAGCAGCGCCCGGTGTCTATGCGCCACCAGCAGCCGCTTATCAGGGCTATGGTATGTGAGACGGCGCACTCGAAGATACATTTCATAGCGCTGATCACCAATATCCTCTTTTCTCAAGGTTTCAATAGAACATTCGATTACGCCGTTTAGTTGACTATTTTTTTTCGTAGTAATCTAATCGACCTGAACTGCAGTAACTGATTAAAATAATAATAATAAAAAAGGAGACCTTCATGGAGAGCCGGATTATCCAAATATCCAGAGATTCTATTGTGAACTGTTATTGGATTATTTTTATGAGAAACTTGACACAAAATTATGGAAATAGCTGTCGCCCATCGACTCGCTCTGCCTCCCACTCACCTCCCACCTCCCATTGATTCTCATGTCGGTTGCCTCTGGGAGAATTAATTGTTTGTTTGTAATTATAATTTTGTCAATACCAATAATCACAGCAGTGAAAAGTCATTAACAGAAATCAATTGAACTGAGGAATGTGTGTCGTGCTTGCGCATTAGTCGAGTTGTTTCATTCCGACGAGACGTTTTTAGAGCGTGCGACTTTTATTTTCCCCGGCTACTGTACGAATCTTTGTTTGTTGATATGTGTATATTTATCGATGAGTCGAAAAATCGAGTGAAGAAGAATAAAAACACGAGAATGATAACTAAACAGAAAATTGGATATAACTGGGAATTATGTTGTGGCATTGCCTGTGTTAGAATTATTGTGTTTTCCGAATCTGCTAGCGAGTGAATTTTTTTGTTTTGCAATGAGTGGCGAAAGGTGAGGTAAAATGGACACTGATTATTTTTTGTAACCATCGATAGCTCGGTAATAACTTGATCAATTGAGCTCGGAGATTTTTATGTTTAGAAAAAAATGTAGTGTCTACTTTTCCTCTCGCAACCATGATTTCCTTGGACTCAAAATTAGTGGTGAAATATTGCACGATTTATTGTGGTTAATTGAGGACACGATTATGAATTATAGTATTGTTATCGGCTCATTAGTGTTACAAATGACGCTGAGATAAAAAATTGGCCTGCGTCCGGCAAAATGATGTTTTATACTCCTTGTGAACTTCTGACCCAAAGCCCCAGCGAGTCTATTAATTTTTCCCATTGTGTAATCTACTTATAAATAAAGTAATTATTTAGTTGTGGTTTATGGAAACAGTTGTGTACGAGCCAGACGTTAATTTATCATTAGTAAGGCCTATGGGGAATGTTTACTATGAAAGTGTCTTTCTTCCTTAATTTTTACTAGTATTTTTTGAATTACCTAGTAGAGATTCAAACACTCACGTAACCAACTAATGGCACTTGTCCCCTATCGCTGCCACTTTCACCTAAAATTTGCATGCAAATGACGTTGACAAATAGCGAATTTTCTTTCCTAATGTATTTTTTCCACCAATTTATTTTCCCCCACGAGCTTAAAATCACTAATAATTTCATTAGCGATCGAATCGATTCGGGAATTGATTGGATAAACACCGTGTGATAAATCAAGCTCCATGTGGACTAAACGAATTATCTCAATGAAGCACACGAATTGATTCAATTATTTTCATCCGAACGGAGATCAAATTATTACATGTTTTGTTCGTAGTGTATTTTACTTTAGTTTATTAATTGTATCTAAAGAGGTTTTTCGATGCGCCAAAGGATTCGCCTGTCGTAATTGCAGTCACAATAACGGGATATTTTTCATCGTCAATGAATCAATAATGGATAGGTCGAAACCCTGTACTGATTTATGACAAGATCATGTACCATTATGCATTCAATAATGGAGCGTCGGAGGCTTCTGGGACAGGGCGATATCGTTTTGGCTGGTATGAGGTGATTTTCTTCGTTCTTACTGTTTTCTAAGTAAATTATGATGGAGGGAATGGAAATGTTGGATAAATGCTCTGTTTGTTGGGAATATATTATTTCTCATTGATGATTGTAATTGGTGATAAAGAATTAATGACATTCCTAGAATACATCTTCATCTGTCCTATTTCAAATAAAAAAGATAATCAAGATGAAACCGTAGAAATTCGAATCCCTAAACTGGGAGCAACAGATCGGGTTACCGCACGTTGTTATTGGTATTTATATTGCTCTTTTCCTTTTTTTTTAATATGATTTATCAATTCGACGAATTTGAATTTTTGTCATTAATATTATATTATATTGAGAATATTGGAAATGAATACAAATGACAAGTTAAACATGAATGATTGATAATTATAAATAAAGTATAAATATATACAACTATATAATATTATATTATAGTGGTAATTAATATAAGTATATATATGTACGATTAGGGCCGTAAAAGAATGGAAGAAATAAAGAAATTGAAAGCAAAGTAACGTTGAAAATATTGTAGTTTACTTCGTGATAGAGACATATATTAAATTGGTTGATGGGCTTTTACCTCGAAACTGTAAAATTATATTAATTGTAAATTAATGTACCGGGGCATGATCCTGATGGCTATCGAAATAAACGACAGCTTGTGAACACGAAATATGTCTGAACGTGATGCAGTTTTATTTAGAATTTTGCTGGCAGTACTTTGGATTTTATCGTGCGTTATAATTCTCCCAAGTGATTTGCTTTGAATTTCTTCACTGCTCGTTCTGCTGGCCTTATGCATAATTCTTTGCCGAATAATTCTAGGGTGGCGCCGGGAAGATGAATTTTTAGTACAACGACTTCTTTTGGAATAGCTGGAAAATCCAAAGACATCAAAAGGTCACATTAATTCTTATGAACATTTTTATTGAAGATATTATTCAAAAATTGATTAATTAAAGTCAATCTGGGCTTTTATAAAGTGATAGAAGTGTTTTCAAGAAAGAAATAAATTCCATTTGATCAGCAACTGAATGAAGTTGTAAAATTTGAAAAAAAGAGAAGTAAAAAGTGTACAGCCCCCCTGTCCGCGATTCAATCAGTAAAAACTTACTCCTGATTTTATCGTCCTTCCCTATCACCCTAAAAGTATTCCTCGTATCCTGCAAAATAATTCCCTGAATCCCCACCAAACTTGGACACTTGGATCTGGCAACAGTAACTTTCGCCCCATGTAGATCAGCTCTCATCAATTTTTGATTAGTAATTTCCCACCGTGCATCGACAGGACTGGTGGGCAATTCGCCAAAATAACGTACACCCAAAGCCTGCTGGATATACCCCAGCCATAAATGATTGAGTGACTCGAGGTCCTTGTACTTCAATTCACTCTCAGGACCTATATTTTTCAATCCCAACAGTTTTCTCTTCCTGCTGCTCAAAAATTTTCCTTTTTTCGGCAAAACTTTCTTCTTCCCATCGTGTGACTTTAATTTACCAAAAATAAATGTCTGAAAGTAATGAAAACAACTAAGAAACAAGTCTCAAACTCATAACACCATTTTGCATACTGCAAAAGTACAATGCACAAAAGAGAAAAAAACCTTTTTAAGTTCAGTAGTAATTTCATTAACATCAGAATTCGGTAAGGAAGTCTCCAGGAAATTCAAAACAATTCTTTCACGATCTTCCGTTGTAGCTGCATGTTTTGTTATCTCGTATGGCAGGGGTTTGCACAATGACTCTATTAAATTATTCAAATTTATTCAAATTAACGTTGAACCATGAAAATAATGAAATTTACTCTCACCTGGTGTTTTCCTCATCATCCCCAAATATATTTAACCAAATATCTGTATAACATGGACTCAGTACACCATTCCCTGAGTGTCCAGCACTGTAAACACAAACACAACCTTAAATTCAGCGGACAGTTGTCCATGTTCCACGTCACGTGACCCCTCCCCCGTCCCCCAGCCAATCAAACTCTTCCATGTAAATGCGTACGGAATACAAATGAGATGCATAAAAAAAAAAGCTCTTATTGAAAAAATACACAGTACATTATGCACAGTAAATATGGGTATGGCCAGTTTTTTCTTTCTCACTGGTGAAAAAAAAATCCATCACCCATACAATTTTTTTTTCAATAGTACATTTTTTTCCCCGCCCTTGCTCAAAACAAAAAGTAGATTTGCAAGTGGCATTTGCAACGCTGCGTTTTCATCCATTGAAATTGAATTCCCAGCGAGTCCCCGGTTAAAAGAGAAGAGGCAAAAAATAAAACAAGGAAATTAAATCTCATTGTCGCAATGACCCCCACGTAAGGCTCATTTGAATAGAACTACTATTGCTCTGGATGTCTACCCCCTCCTGCCCAGCGCCATTCAGTGACCTGTGAAGATTTCTTTGACGCGTGTGCAACCGTTTGTACAGCTACCCCACTCTATCCTCTAGATTTTCTCTAGCCCTGGCGGCTGTTGTACTTTTTTTTTCTAGCCAGGTGATACTGAATAGATCCCTCGCTGACTTAACAGCGAGGGCTTGTACCCCGGACACCGCCCACTCCTTTTTTTCTTCTTTCTCTGTTTTTTTTTTTTCAATTTTTTTTTGCAACTCTCCCAACGATACCATTGAGCTGATTTTTGCATTCACGCTGAGACAGAATCCAGCTGATTGCTATTTAATTTAGCGTCTTGTCTTTAATTCGAGTATTTTTAAATCTCGACCGAGGTGATTTCCAGTGTGACGGAAAAATCCAACATTTTTAGCCCATGGAATTAGAGGGGAATGGAATCATGGCCGGTAGATATTGAAGGTTTAATGAAAAAGGTGATGTAAGGAAAAATTCGCGTTGCCGGAGGGGACGGGACAGGGGATATGATAAAGAAAGGGGTGAGAAAAAAATTCCATTTCCGCTGGCTTCCACTATTTTTCTGTTTACAACGTGAATGGCGTTATTTTCCGGTAAATTTGCCACGAGATACTCCAATACCAGTTCATTCAATATAAACTTATAAAGTTAGCTGCAGCATTACACCACACAAACTCCGCAGGCAGTTGTATTAATCTCAACTTGCTTCACCAACAATAAACCTTTTCAATTTTTACATTAACCCCCTTGGCCACATCACTACATCCCTCTCTGCTCTCTTGCAACACCGGGTTTCACCATCAAATCGGATCTTAAACCTTAGCAATGAAACTTTTTCCTTGTAAACAGTATCATAAATTTCAAAGAGTTCTCCTTGTAAAGCCATCTCCCTTTGATCGTCTCGTTAAAAAAGTTTATCTCGACAAAGAGCCTCGTAATGATAATCAACTTTCTGCATTGAGATATCCAACACTGTTTAATACCCTAGGAGCATATTCCAGATTTTTTTTTTCTCCACCGCGGACCGAGTGAATAGGATTTTTCTTCAAGCGTTGAGGGTAATAAATTTTCGGCTGTCTCTGGGATAAGAATATTCCTCAAGCAACGTTGGACGAATAAACCCCAAGTCAACATTAAGATTCTCCCATTTCACTCTTTTCAACTTTTCCTCAACTCTTCACCGAGCCAATGGTAATGTTACCAACACCAGAATCTGTGCAAAAAGTTTTTCCTACCGTTTGTTTTTCGCCCATTCGTGATTCTGGTGAACGATAAATTTATTCCGAATGACTCACATTGTCTCTTTGAATTCTGACAAAAGCTTTTTACCGAGTTTCTCGTGCTCTATCACGTGCTCAATGGCAATATATCTTCACTATCTCACCCCCCCTCCCCCTGCTTACCCCCTCATTCACCCCCTGGTCTCCTGTACTCTGAGAACAAAAAGAAGTAACGACGAAATAGAGTTACAGTGGGTGCATTAATGCTCGCAAAAACACCAACGAAAATTGGGGAGCAGTCATAAACCTAATTTATTAAAAAAACCATTATTCAACAGATGAACTTTTTACATTGGCATCAGGTAACAATGTTGGCCACTGTAACGCCGGATTCTTCGTTCTTGCCGAGATAACGATCGAGATAATGAAGCGTTTCAAAAGCAACCTCCACCATGATGAGAACAATAATCATCCATTCCAGTCTGACGTGGTGTCGATCACTCAGATGAGAGGAGAGCAGCTCCACCAGCTCGACGCAGTGATTTATTTTTTCGTTCATTACCTAGAATCCAGGGAGAAACGATTGTCATTTATACTCTCGTAATGAATTTATCCACAATGCAGTAGACTGACATTAACAGGAAGATATGAATTTTTTTTTAGAGAGCCTTGTGATTTTTGGGAGAAATGTGAATTTTTATCTTCCACTTATTTATAAAACTCCAATCTTGCTTTACGTTTTTTTTAATTCTCAGTTGTTCAATAAATTATTTTTTAAGAATTGAAAATTTTCTATGAGGAAATGGTAATTAAAAACTGACACTTTCAAATCGGTGATTTAATTAAAATTACGAGAATTGAGGATCCGTGCAAAATTTTCACTCTATCTCAATCTCTCCTTGGATGCCAAAGAGGGTGAAAAAATTGACCCCAATTGGGCCGTTGTGGTGACAAGAACGGATAATTTTCAGAGCGAGTCATTCGGTTGTGTCACAATGAAGATGAAGATGCCCCAAAATTAATTAAAAACTTTCCGACAATCCTTATCCTCGATGATTCTAAACTAGGATGAGTTATTCGAAAAAGTATATTCTCATCTCCCCGGAAAGTTTCAATTTGCCTCCACTTCTGAAGCATTATAGCAAGAAAGAGGTTCATCCCACAAATGTATTTTTTTCCCGGAGTGCAATTCCCTCTGAGAATAAAATAAAATATAAAAACTTACTCTTGTGCGTTTAGCAATACTGAAGTACCCACACGTTTGCTGATAAAGCGTTTCGAGTTCATCATTCTCCCAGTAGAAATCCGGAGTATCCAGAAGATCCGAGCTGAGATTAATAAGATGTCTCAATGCGAATAACTCGCCCTGTTTCCTGAGGACCTCCTCTCTCGTCATTTTTATCCTCCTGCCAGCCTTAAGGTCCTCAGTAACGAATTCGATAGAATCGATATAAGCCTCGAGCGATGCCTCCCATATTCCCAGTTTCACTGATTGAGATATAGCGTTGGAAAATGTGTATTTATCTAAACTAGTGGCGTCGGATGCCAAATAGATATCTCCGTCCTTCAAGTGACTCCGTTTCCTGTCAATTTGTAGTTGAGAAGGGATTGAGATATACTGGGGATGGAGGAATTAGCTCCAACTGAGGGCTCAGTAAATGGGTCAGTGCTTAGGTAACTTACTGGGCTTCGGTATATGTGTAAGACATCATTTCGCTCTCGGACTGCACCAGTGTTGGGGCGTAACTGCTGTCCTCGTATGACTTTAGGAATTGAAGGAGATTACCACTCTCCAAGTCGGGAATGTTCCACATTACGACAGTCCCCTCACGGAAAAAGTATATTTCTTTTATTTCATGGTCTATTTCGTACTTTGGCACAGCGTGGATTACATCTGGCAAAGCTGCAACGAAAATCAATTTTCGATAATTGAGGCGTTATTGATAATACATTTTTCAGGCTCCCCGGCACTCCATCGATTAATCAAAATTACTCGTTAAATCCAACAAAGGCTTTATTGTTCTTCATCAGTCCACTACAACTTGGCACATTTCACAGATTTTATTTTCTACTAATACAGTAAACTACTCGCTTTATATTCCTCCACATTTCAAACCATCAATTTCAACTATTTACTTAGATATCAAATCGAGGGCTGCAGCAAATTTAATTATTTGAACTTTCCGTCGTTTCTAACCATTCTATTCAAAATTACAGGAATTTCATCATTGAATATTCTGGTAAGTAAATGTTGACAATTCGAAAATTTAGCAGTCCCGTAGCATAAAATAGTAATTAAACTACGGTTGAAATTATTAATAATTCCTTCTCTCAAACCAAAATTAATTCTCAATTATTCTCTCAACTCTTTGAATGAACGAATAATCATGAGAAAATAAATCCGATAAAATGCATCGAACAGAAGAAAAATGGTTTGAATAGAATAGAACAGTGTGAAATTTTTCTGAATTGTCTTACACGTTAACGTGAGACAATAGTTGTACCTTCGCCCTGAGGCGATAGAAATGAGATAATATGTTTACTCGAAAGACGGGTCTAATTGGATTAAAAAAAAAAGTGAGTGCCTCAGGGGTTGAATTGAGGAGTGAATGAATCAATCAAGAATGGACTGTCAGTGCATGCAATGCCGCTCATGAGTCCTCCCTCGTTACAGCCATGTGGTTTAGTTCTCAACAAGTGACCGACTTGTTTATTAGAGAATATCGTCTTATCATCTCCAATGATAATCCCGAAAATGCCAAGTTCCGAGATAACTCGTTTAAGCTGTAGACTGTCAGAGCTGGCCGCACGTACGATATAATTCAATTGCGGTGGTGGATGAATTTTATCCATGAGGATCCACGCCAACCGCTCCTGAGGGCTTTTCATAGACTGGAGAAAGGCCCTGATGTCAAGCCCATATATGTTATTGCCCCCGCCCTCTCTCTGTGGCTTGAGAACAAAACGTTCAGGATTTGCCATAGCCATATCCAGGGTGGTATTTTCATTCTCATCCGCTCCTAGTGCGTACAACCCTGAGACATTTCAATGTGGAATAAATACAATAAGACGACAATTGTAATGACTGGTAATGAGCCAACCTAATAATCATTTCAATGGAAACTCGTGGCCCCGGCCCATTCATACCTGTGAATATTTCTTTAACGCGTACAACTGTTTTTTCATTATTCAAGTATTGTTCAAGTACTCCGGGCTTTGCCAATGCCTGCTGAATTTTTTTAGTACCGGCCAGGTGATACTGAATTGACGGTGATTTAATAGCTAGAGATCTCTCTATCAACAGCCTCACCTCCCACTCTTTCTCACTTGGATATTGACCCGGTTCGTATCCACATCTGAAGTAAACCACTCCGATTACTCGATTATTTACGATAAGTTCTTTCTTGGGACCCAGTCTCGCTTGGCTAGCCAACTGAGTCAATGTCCTTCTGATAACTCTGATATTTGGATTCTGCCGTTTTATCTCGAACTCGTGAAATCTCTGATCGCAGATGTTGAAGGAGAAATCCTCAACGATGAATAATATAGCAGCTCTGGAATATTCGGAAAAATTGTGAGATGGTAGTCGCCTTTATGGGGAATGTTTTGGGTAGAGCTGCGGAAGGAAGAGATTTCGGAAGGAACGGCGGAGGATGGGGGTTCCGGGGAATTGTGAAGGCTGTGAGAGCTTTATGCTCTTTGATTTTTTCCCTCGAATCTTCCGGGTTTAGGGGTATTTGGCAAATTGTTTGCTGCAATTCTTTCAATTTTCATGGAGATTTTCCCACTGATTTTCATTGTCTCATTTGATTGTTAATGGAGGTGGGTTATCGTAGGTGCGTGAAATAGTGTAGGGCAATTCAGTTGCGATGGGGTAACTGGCAGAGCAAGGCGATTTCGCTGATAGTTAGGGTTTCAAGGAATATCTTCGAATGTGAAGGAGATAGTGAAGATTTTCTAAGAATATTTTTTATAGCTTTCATTCGGATCCATAAAAGAGGTACTGAGGAAAGTTGATTACTTCCTCTAGTTTCGGAGATATTTTTCGATAACTCGATGAGGGGCTAAATCAAATTGTTATCTTGTACAATTCTGAAATGTGTCGTTCTCTGTTTTGTTGTTTATATATTAGATTATTCCGTAAGTATTTCTCAAGGGGAGAATACCCACGAGATACTATTTTTCTGGCTGGTCCCGAAATATACGTGACTAAATAAAAAAATAAAAAATCTAAACAAAAAAATGGGAAAGATGATAATAATTAGGCAGATCTGCGATTCGATTGATACCTCTTCCCAAATATGTAGTAATTAAAATAAAAGTAATTCAATTATTTACTAAAAAAAATCTAACAATAATAAATGCTAATTGGATGAAGGAAAATCTCCATCCGTCGAGTGTTTTCTGAGGCTACGGAAATTCCCCCCAGACAAATCCCTGAGCATATTGGCTCGAGCCTCATTAATTGGAAAGATATTCCCAAAACAATGAGTACTATGTATTTGATACATACTCTGAGTCGTTGTATATCCCCCAAGCATCTATCATTGCTCCGCAAATACCTTGGAGTGCATTATTAGCGGGTAAATATTTAGTTAAATTCTTCAATCCAAGTTCAGTCAAGATAAATTGATGAAATTTAGTTGTAATGGGGCCAAGCCATCCCATTCCAGACGCCATTGTATTAATCTCCACTTGCTTCCAGCAACAAAAGGGCTTTTGTACGTTGACAGCCTCCTTGAAGTTGGAATCGAGCATCAAATCTGACCTCAACAAGCCAAGTGACACTTTCTGTGTAAAACCCTCTTGATAAACAGTATCGTATATTTGAAAAAGTTGCCTGGTGAAGGCATCCACCCTCACAGGTCCCTCCAGTGTTTCTTTCAAAAATTCATAATCATGAGCAACTCGATGCATCAGGGTATTCAGAATAACCTGAATCTCACAGGCATCCTCGAATTCCTCTCGTGGAAATACCGATGGTAGCATTGCAAACGGGGCAAATTGGATGATATCTTTTGTTGTATTGCTAGTAGGACGTACACCCATTCCGTGCATGAGAGCCCAATCCTTGGCTCTATCCACTAGCTCCTCCAACTTCTCTGGATCCAATGGTAAATTCGTGCATGAAGGCAGAAGCCTCTTATCATCATCCATTTTTTAGATGAAAAAAATATCCTCGATATTCAAAGGCTTCGAGTCGAAGCCGTTGAGCCTCTCTCAGTGAGAGTGCCTGCAATGGATTGGGTTTAGTAAAAATTGTATTTTAGAATTCTTTCAGTACGACAAATCACTGAAAGAAGAGTAATAAGGGAAGGGACACTTCGCACCTACTTTTCTGCTGATTATCAGAAGCAATCATTGAATTGAGTAAGAAATACAATTGAATCAAGTGTTTCGGTTTTTTTTTTGCAGTTCTCATAATCTTGCATAATCTGCGGATTTACTGGGAGGATTTAGCTGCTGTGCGCAAAAAATAGACGAGCTTCAGAACTTTTTAGGTGAAGAATGCAATGATCGATTGAGCACAGACTGTCCTCACAACAAATGGGGAAAATGTTCTCTTCGAGGGAACAAAATTATTTTATCTCACCGAGAATTGAATAATTTTAACACTTGAAAAATGTCTGAACTTCCCGTACCATCTGCATCAATTTAATGAACATGAACAGAATCATTTTCGCAGTGAATTGTATTCGACTTAATTCACCGACGTCGATAGAAAAATCCACTGACACGCATTTCCTTGAGGCAATGATATTTTTTTTCAAAGGATCAGATTTCTCACGAATTTCATATATTGCGTGAAGTGTCAGATATGAAGATATCTCGGGATTAGGAAATTATTGTGCTACGGAGTCACGTATAACTCGCAAAAAAAGAATCATTTACTATCAATTAGTCTTTTTTGATCATTTTTTTAATAATTACGTTCATGCGATTATTTTCTAGTGTAGAAACAAAATAATTTCGCTCCGCAGGCGTTGGGAATAATTTTCATAATGCAGTTGATAAAAAATTCCATCTAAATCTTATGGAAATGCCTTTTAAAAGGAACAACCTTCACATCCCGCTGTTCACTCCGCATTTTTCGAGGGCGATTTCGATGTCTGAAATTTTTTCCTAATAGCCCACTCAAAAAATCAGTTTTAGGAGAACAAACCTCAGTTATGGATCTCATGATTTATTCCGGACTGAGTAGATCATAATTCCATCCCGGACCTTTGACCTTAACTTCTAAAAAATTCTTTATGTAACCGTTATTTCGTGTCTCATTTTTCCTGAATTTTATATCAGGTAATCTTACAAAGGAAATAATAAAATCGAAATCGATTAATGAATCATTAGAATTTTGAAAGAATTCAACAAACAAGGAGTATAGGCATAGTTTAAATAGGGATTGAACTCACATTTCATGAAATTACGATTTTACCATTACAATAACGAAATTCCAGATAATTGCAACGATTGGACTATTATTTTTATGTTCTCCAATTTCTTTATGTTCAATTGTCACAGTAAATAAAGACACCTCCGGCAATTGCAGAAAACTTCTGAATTCTCAAAACGCATGACAAATTCAATGCACGATTAAATAAAAATTGAGTGTTCCGAAAATTCATGTGTGGTTATTGAAATTCAAAAAGAGACTCTGATCTAATGTATTGGAAAAAAATCCGCCATTTCGAAAATTCACGTCCATTCAATAGATTCTTTTCACGTTCACTCCATTGATAATTTTTGCTCGTGCTCTATTAATCAGCGGCGAAGAGAATCTTTGACATCAAAGAGTCCAAAAATGTAATTTATCAAGAACCCATATTACACTCCTGTCAAGCAGAATATGAGTACTGACAATGGTGAATCACAGATAAAAGCACATAGAAAAAAAAATGTCTCATCGTGTTACTGACCTTCCAGTGACTGATAGACACTCGCCAAAGCTCCAAGTGTCTTCAAATGCTTTCACGAAAATTCTTTGGCAATGAACAATTCTGATAAAAGGTTCTTAAAGCCGATATGATGGGGCGCTTAAGAATGTCAAGTCTAGTCAACACTATTATTACCGTACAATAGATAGGCTCAATCACACACCAATGCTTATTTTATACTTTGTTGGTAGTGCGTTCATTATATATCCGCAAGTTTCATTATAAGTTTCCAGCCCCACGCGTGTACGAATCACTCGATTGGCTGAGAGATTTCCTCTCGTGGTGGGAGCGCACAGCTGGTCAAAGTAATCACCGTAATATGCCAATCATTTTGCACACGATAATTCGGGGAATAATGATTTCAGGCATGATTATCATCCACTTGTCACCACGATTGCACCCGATTTTTTCTGGATAAAATTTTTTAATAAAAATCTGAATCAATCGATTACGGGAAAATAGAAAACGGAAAATTTTCTCGTCACCAGAATATGGGATCTTGTACTTGCCACGATTATTTACATGATAATAAAATATTGAAAAAATATGGAGACGAAAAAATGATTTTACTATGAGATTTTCAACATGTCACTGAATAATTTCTATTCGTCTTTATTCGTGAAACAAAATCCTAAGGGATACAAGTGAAACCAAAATGCTCTCCGACTTGGGATTGAGGTGTTACTTTCGTGGGAAAATGAAATTTGTCCGCAATATTCTAGATTAATTCTCGTTGGAATTAATTATACTGTATTATTCAGTGAAATAGGAGCACCGGGGGATTAGATTTCTGGGGGAGATACGAGTGCGACGGGCGAATCTCTGGCTCGACGTCATAAAACGGAACTGCAAGTATCTGTTCTAAGGGGATGAAGACAATTTTGCGGTTGTTCGGGAATTACTTGAATTGGGGATATTGTTTGGTCAATGGCATTGAGTCGATATTACTCCATATCACATAATAGCCGTGGAGCATTTGGTGCTGAGTCCAACTTGTTGGAAGTTTGTTTTTTTCCTTCTAAGAGTGGTTGAAGGTTGAATGAACTTTTTTTTTCTTCCGATTGTTCATTTCTGCAATGGGTTGCAGTTATTGTGCTCGGGGCTGATTGGAAATTATTCATGATGTGGGATATAAGAAACAGATATGAATTTTTATCAGACTATCGGCAACTGTAGGAGACAATAGAATAACAGAAAATTCAATTACGATGAGTCACTTTTGTTTAACGAATCATAATCGTTGGGATTGGGGACATTGTTTGGTCAATAATTTACTGCATATCATATGGGGGGAGTTCCGCGAATTTAATTGCGAGAAATTAAGTTTGGGTTTTATTTTTAGACTGCAGAGGGTCGCATCATTTGTTTTCCAGTTTTTAATTTGTGAAGTGCTCTGAATCGCTGGGGTTATTTTATTTTATAGTGAAATTCAAAGAACATTCTTTTTTTATCTCTCTACATTATTTTGTGCTCGTTCAATATTCTAGATCGTCGAGCTTGTATCCCAAACTAATTAGGGTATGTTAATTATGCGAAACGTGGGAAAAAGGTTGAAAAATATTCAGTGAAGTTAAAAATTCTCCAACAAAACACTCCCAGTATGAAACAATGGAATCGTTGAATTCCTAACGAGATTGAATCATTTGTTCTCATCAAATACTCATGATTCTCGCCATGGATATAAAAATCCGAATTTTATTCGTTTCCTGTGGAAAATCAATGGATTCGAGAGGAACAATACCACAACTGATTGGATACCGTTCTATTTTTCGGATTTCAATTAAATTGTCGAAGATGTTATGACCACGAAATCAATGTCATTATTACATCCGTTCATCTGGGATAAAATTTATCACCAATTATTTAAAGATGACTATGCAAGAAATGGGCCGATTGCATTCAAGGCAGACACATGTCATGTTTCTAATCGAAGGAGGGAGAGCCAATCATGAATGCTGACGCAATTATTTGATCATGGACTTACATTTTCCTGAAGTGTTGATCCTCTTCGGCAGATATAAGTCCTGGACTGTCAGTGCCTCTGCCAATCCCTCCAGGTTGTATTCCTCAGCCGTCGCAAGAGCCTTAACATTCCAAAACTATCCGACAACATCAGAACATGAAGAACAGTGTTAATTAAAATCCTACAATTATATTACCATTGCAATAAAAAATTTCATGGTGTCATGATTAACTCCCAAAATAACACAATTCAAAATATTAACTCCAAAAATCACAATTGGCTAAAATAATTGAGGGCAACAATATTTTACCATTATAATATTTCTGCGCAGTAAACAATTTATATTATAATACTTTAATTTATAATATTAAAAAAAATAATATACCGATCTCCTAATATCTCGACTTGTAATATTTTTCGGAGAATATTTCCGCGAAGTAACAAATTTACATTATAATATTTTGAGTCATCGGTATAATCAAGGAGCTTACCCCAGGTTGGCTCAACTCGTCGTCCTCTGAGATCAGCCTCTTCTTCCTGAGGGGTCTCTTCTTGAACGGCGCGCCCAGAGGGTTTCCCTGTCCGCCCTTCAACCTGTCCCCCTTCCCCGCGCTTTTATCACTCGATTCACTGGACCATTTTCGACAGAAAACCCCCGTGATCCCGGAAGCCCCCCGTTGACCGGCCAAAAAATTGTTACTCGCACTACGAATAAAATCGGTTGACAATCCCCGGCATGCCATCAAGACAACCCTCTCAAAGCCCGAAATCATCTCGCAAGTGTCCCTGAAGAAAGAGCAAAAATCAAAGTTCTCACCTCTGGAATTCCTCTCATTCCTCAACCCACCCCAAAAAATTCCTGACAATCCCTCCCCCCAAGTCGATTCTCACGACCACCAACACACCATAACCCCAATAATCAACCGATCAACATAACCTCAGACCCGATGAAAAGCAAAATGTAAACCCGACCGGGTGTCACGTGGCACCTACGGAGAAGAAGAAATTTTCATCGATCAGGCGACAAAACCACCGACTCAGAGGGACCCAGCCCATGCGCACAACAAGTTGTCTGCCCGCGAAACGCCACCCATTGGTCCTCCAAGGTACCACGTGGTGTCAATTTTTATTCCCATATGATGCGCGCCAGTTTCCTCTCTCAACTGGACGCACCTGATGCACACCCAAAACGCCAAATGAAAACTCCGTCACAACCGTCCATAAATTATTCATCTCCCTTCAACGAGAGTTCACCGCCCACCAATTAATCTCTCTGGACCAGGAATCATCGCCTCTGACCAATCCACAAAATAAAATCCAAAAGTCACTTGTCACTTCGATGAGACGTCAATGACCCAGTCACTCAAAAATACCTAACACTCGAGGTTAAAATGGGTTAAATTTGAAGTATGTACTCAGAATTTGGAATGACACACAGGGGATTATCCACTTTCATGCACTGAACAGTTACAAGTAGTATATTATTTATTAGAAGAAAGTTTTTTTTTTATAAGTGGTGTCGGGGCGGTTCGTTTGGCCGTGAAGTGACCCCCCTGGGGGCGGAGGGGTGCGCGGGTTAAAAACGGTAAAAATGCGCTTGCGCGTATATTCAACCGTCAGAGAGGACGCTGGTAAACACAGTCGTAGGGCGACCATACAGCACACAGCGTTGCAGTGTCCGACAATTCCGTGAATTCACTCAAGGTGAATTTCTAGAACTAAAAAAAAAAAAAATTAGAAAAAAAAACAAGGAAATGAGAAAACTAAACAACTCGGGCCAAAAGTGGAACGGAGAAAGGAGATGATATAAACAACTGGTGTGTGCGTGTGGGATAGACGTGAATATTTTTTACCCAACCCAATTATAATTGTGGTTTGTACGCAAATTGTGGTGTTAAAGGTTGAGTCCGGTATAGCCGGTCAAATAAATATGTTGTGAAAAGGGGCAGAGGGGGTAAGAAGAAAAAAAAACAGGAAAATTAGTTCTAGGAGGAGGTAAAAACGGTGGCTGGGGATATTGAGACATTCTGATTGTGTCGCCTGCACGTCAACTTTTCATTGGTGTTAACGACGCAGGAGGTGACTGACGTTGATTTTTCAAGCACTCGGTTATTAATCCATCTTTCATTTTTCGTCGGGTAGCCTCGATTTTCCCCCATTTTTTGTGTGAATTTATGGGCCTCGTTCTTGTGATTGCGACGCGACGAACGTGGAGACATGACAACGTGATAGAAGGTGAGAATACAATGGATTTTTTTACGTTTTAAGAGGAATGAGGAAGGGAATGGAGGATAGATAAAAGCGAGATTGGATGTTTTTTTTTAAATGTTTCAATTGAAATAGGAAGTAAAAAAGGAGGACGCCTTTGGGCTTGCATTTTAATGAGCTTAATAAACCCTCTGGTACTCGATCGTTATATCGTTCCCACCGTCTCACTTGGAGATAAAAAAAAATTGTGTTAATCCAGTGTTTTTCGCCTCTAGCCACTCTCTCCTTTTTTTTCAGTTATCTCATTTTATCTCGTTTTATCTCAACTCCCTCGTGCCTCCATTCGACAATTTATCAATGGCCCAAAGTTAGCCAGTTGCATTTAATCCAGGGAAACGGAAACTGTTTAGGGAATTAAGGGAAACGATTTTAGGGATTATGGGTTTGGATGTAAACAAGACTATGGGTCCTATTCAAATTGGTGGGATGGATGCATGTTTTAATCCATTGGGTAGATACTGTTAGAAGGATTGGTTACAATTGTCCAATCCGTCGTGTCGTCTGGACAGAGTACGATCGAACTTTTAACATCAACTCTGTATCTGTGTAGCTCACTCCAATTCTTGTCTTTTTGCTCTGGTGTTTGAGCACGTGTGGCCCTGTCAAAAGAGGAAATTGTACAGCGAACACGAACTAGAATGGATGATGTAACTGACACGGGAATAAAAAATAAATAAAAAATGTCATTCCCATTTCATTGGTCCTCGTGGAGAGCGAGAGAAATGAGTGCATCCATTGGAATTGGAATTATTTGCTTGATTCACTCCGACCAAGGACTTTCACCTGGTTTTTCTCGTACCGTCAATATGCTGGATGAATATTATTCGAGCTATTGACGACTATTTTTCAACCTTATTCACCTCGACACCGCTGGTGAACGAGTTTACTGTGCATCTCTATTCCCATTAAACTATCTAGAGAACTGCCATAATGCGTAAAGACATTTTAACCAGCAATTGTACTTGGCTCCCGCTGTGCGCAGCTTTATTAAATTAAGGAATTAATTCTCATGGGTAACGAGTTTTTCATTAGGATAATGGGCCACCGTCGCTAGCATCCGAGGGAGAATGTACTTATCAACGATTCGCCTTCGAGTTTTATCGTGACTTAATAACGTGTGAAGTTGTGGAGTTTTATCTCTAGCTTTATGCCAGTACTTCATGCCAAGTATTTTCGGGAGATTAAGTTGGTCTAGAGGTCATTAACTGTGGTCATTCAATTGTGATAATTAATTTATGGAGTATCTATCGCTTTCTCTTTTCCCTGACTTCCAAGTGCTCAGCATTTTCCAGTGGTAACGAAGCCAATTCGATTTCAGCTATTTCATGTTTTTTTTATTTATGCCCTTTCTCCATTTTTTTTTTAGACAGAAACACAAATGTTTTCTGTACGTTTGGTGACTGCGGACAGCTATCAGGCACAACCGCTGCCTCAGCTGGATCCCACATTTTCCGTATTTCGTGGCTCGGAAATTAAAAATGTACCCGTCATTAGGGTATTCGGAACTACACCTACAGGTACATTCCATTTAATTAACCACTAGCAGTGAATTAACTGGCGCTAAATCCGACGATTGGGAGGGCTCAATTAATACAATACCAATTACCATTCCCAGGGGAAAAAACGTGTCTACACGTGCACGGTGTATTTCCATATTTGTACGTACCCTACACGGGTGAGGAGAATGAGGATAGGCTTGCATATAGACTAGCAGCATCACTCGATGCTGCAATAAATATATCACTGGGCAGTGCCAATTCAACGACTCAACACGTTTATCAAATTCAGAGGGTAGCTGGAATGTGAGTCTCATTATTTTGCCACCATCTAAATTTCCAACCTGTTGATTGTCTTTTTTATCTACTCTAATGAACTAATCCCATATTTTAGACCGTTCTATGGCTATCACAAAAGGGAGCATCAGTTCTTTAAAATATCGTTTTACAACCCAGCTATCATGAAGAAGGCCGCTGATTTATTGCAAGTTAGTATTTGCACTATGGTCTTTTTTATTTTATTTTTTCAAATACATCTCACTCCCTCTCGAATGAACGATGAAAAAGTTTCGACAATTAGCTGAAAAACTCAGGCCAACTTTACCCATTAATTTGCCCTCTCTTCTCCTGTCGTTTTTCCCCCCCTCATTCCATTTTTTTTGTTCACCAGACTGGGGCGGTGCTAGGTCAAAGTTTACAGCCGCACGAGGCCCACCTCAACTACACTCTTCAATTCATGATGGATTATAATTTGTACGGTATGAGCTTCATAAATCTATCAAGTGTTAAACATCGTCGTGGAAATGAATCAACGGTGGACATGATAACGTCCTATGACAGCGTAATTACACCAGTGGACAATGTCGAATATCTCCCAGTTAATGTTTTACGCCAGAGTATCTGCGAACTCGAGATAGACGCTATTGCATCAGATATATTAAATAGGGAAGATTTGGCAAAGGGAATTGAGCTGAATCCGGGATTGTTGGCTATTTGGAATGAGGAGAGGGAGAGAAGGAAACAAGCGGGTCTTGGGGGTGGTGATACTCAGCTTGTTAATCCAAAGAGCCCACAGAGGCCACCATTCCGTCCAACCGATAGTGATCTTTATCAAGAGCAAAGACTTGCCCGCCGTCTCCTAATGCTATCCCAGGTGAGTGCCAGGCCCCCATGAATTTTTCATCACCCTTATTCATTAGGGATTAAATTGCTGAGGTAGACGGGCCAAAAATATCAGTTTACACTCGTAAACTATCCCTTCAACACCCTAAAAATTTCTATTCAATTCTATTCCCAACTGAATGTATTTCACCATTTGCCTCTCCAATACTTCCAGTTCAGCCCGAAATTACAACAAATTAGGAGAAATTTCATCTCTACAATAACTATTGTATATATTCACTTGCATAATTATTTACATTAATTTCATTGCAGGCCGATGAGAGCACACTTTCAATGAGTACAAATCCAGCTCCATATCCGGCTGAAGTAACCCAGGGTGATGTTATATTAAATGCATCAAATTTTGGTAGTTTGAGTATACCAACTTCTGATAAAACTCAACGGCCAAATGAAACTCTGAGTTTAAGCTCCCTAGGATCCACTCACTCCTCCCAAACTTCCCACGAATGCAGTGTTTGTAAGTGTAATTTTCCTCCTCTCTCTCAAACTTTGAAGGAAAAAATAAAATCAAGTGTAACCGAAGCTCAATCCTAATTGTAATGGTTCTCTTCAATTGCAGTGGATTCTGATGATCTGCCATTAGTGGAATTACTGGAGAATTTAGCTCGTGATTCGAATACCAAGGAAACAGTGGATGAGGATAGTGTATTGGGCACCCAGGTCTCTTCCCTGAGTCAAGAGGAGGACAAGAGTGAGGATGACAGTTGTACGAATGAGGATTTGAACCTCACGTGTCTGGAATTGGACTCTTGGAGTTCGTGGGAGGGTGGAAGGAGGCCCACTACCCTTGAATCACCCCACAAATGTTCACTAACAGACGACGAAATGGACTCAACTCTTTTGGGTGCCCTTCTCGCTGCCGGAATAGACACTGATCCCTCCTCACCGCAATCCCTTGAGTCGTCGGTGCCCCAGCTGGATGGAGCTGGTGACCTCTGCTCGAGTCTTCTCGACTCCGAGGAGGAGGAGAATTTGCAGATGGAGGTAGGGCACAACTCCCAGATGACGAAAATAGCAGTGTGCAGTCAAGTGACTCCCTCCAACTCCAGCCTGAGCCCCTCGACATCGTCCTCAGCCTCGGAGGGTACAAGCCAGGACTCCTGGGGCCTCAAATACAGTCCAATCACCTACGAACATCTCACTGACGACCTCGTCGATGATATTGAGAACATGATGCACGAGAATCTCATGTTAGAAATGAATTTCACCAACGAGGAAGTACCAGTTGGTGTGAGCTTGGTAGAAGACGAGACAATTCCCATCGAGCGTGTCCTCAATGGGGATCCATGCTTCACAGAAACAGCTGAACTCGATAAATCCGATCTCACTGAACTCCAAGACCAATACGTCAGCTTACTCGACAGACAATTACTCTCGGAGATTTACGAAAACTCGCAGAATCTAGATCTCATCAATAATACTGCTACCGAGGATACAGGAAATTGTCAAGTGGGTGGGCAAGGAATTGACTTTGTACAAGCCGAGTGTGTTATCCAGAATGTGCAAGAAACTCATCGTGAATTATGTAAACAAAATACGGGAATTGATGCGAGTGCGGTTGATGAGAATTGTGAACAAGTAAACAGACACACGAGTGACAGTTCGGATTACAATTGCAATGTGGTGGCAACGTGGGAGGAGCTCCATGATTTTCCTTATTTGCCAAAGGGTATAATTAAAAGAAAGTGTACTCAGAAGTTGAGTAATCAGGGGATTGAGAGAAGAAAGAGTAAAGTAACAGCTAAGAGTGAGGTGCAGAGCTGTTCTGGAGAGGTTTGTGAGGGCCCCAGGGAGCCTGTTGAGGGAAATACATTGGGCTCATTGAAAATTCAAGGCAATCAGTTGCGTGAGAATCTCATGGATGTGAGGGTTTTCCCGAGGGTTCAGTATTCACCATATTTATTGGGTGAGAATGAAACGCTAGTGGCCCCCATTCTTGCTGATTTTGAGGAGCTGACTGAGCCTCTATCACCGGGCGATGTTCCTCTGACATCCAACTACTGCTCTGACAGATCACACAGGGGTATTATCTTCGGTGAGGACCAACACAGACACTGTGTTTATTCATTCAATCACCGAAAATTCGTTCAGGACTACGTGTTCACATCCAATGAAATCTGGGTAATTGAAAAGCGTAAGAGAGGTAAAGCGGGTACAGGGAGTGTAATTACATCGAAATTGTGTAATAGGGAGTGTCGACTGCCGTGTGTATTGCTGGAGAAAATTAACATCGAGGAAAGTGAGGAACAGGGTGAAAATATTGAAGTGGTTAAGGACTTGGATTCAATTAGTTCAGCACTCCCACCGGATGATAGTGCGAGAAATGATCTGGATTATTGTACACCTGGGGTGGATTCAATCGATGTGGATGTGTCAGTGGATGATACGAGAAAAGAAAGAAATACATTTACCAGAATTACGAGACAATCTGAACGCAATTTCATTCAATCGCAAAGTTCTACGGAGAGTGGCGACGGTCCAGTGATCATACGACGAGTATTCGAGGAGAAAACTAGTGGTTCGACTTGTGTCAAGAAACGTAAAATTATTTTGAAAGTCGGTAGTAATACCGACTCGCAGTCCGATGATTCGAGAGTCGAGGATAAGTCCAAAGTTTCCTTGAAGACGAGACGAAAATTGAGACGAGTCAAGGATAAAGTGCCTGCAAATATGGCTGTTGAAGATTCCCAGGAATTAGAAAATGAGATAAATGGATCAGCGTCAGTGGGCGATGTACAGTGCATCAGACAAGTTTTACCGGTGGTTGAGTCCTTGAAATCAACCAGTCGTCCGAGAATAGTTTGCAGCATCAAAACAAAGAGACTCGGCATGAAGTGGCTTCTCTCATTGACGTCGAAACATCCCAGGAAAATCAATCAGATGGTACAATCAAAATTACCCACACCACAACCACAAATTCGGAAAGTGGAAACAATAACGCAGAGGTATAAACTACGTGTTCGTAGGCGAGAGCCCGAGGGTAAATCGATAGTGGAACCGGTGGAAGATGAAAAAGTTGAGGCAACAACTTGCCACGTAACAGCCGAAGTGGAGGTCAATAATTCACCGGTACTGGCTGGTTTGATACACGGTGTGGATGTTGCTAAGGGTGAATCTGAAGAAATAGAGCCATCGGTATCGGGGGATAAAATTCCAGTGACTAACGATGAGACCACACCTGTCTACACAAACACTGTGGCAGAAGTGAATTTGTACTCGGGTAAGGATTACACGATCGATGCTGTCAGCCAGGAAATACCCCAGTTACTGTTTGCCGAGGACTCGAATGCCTCCTTCAACGAAAATACAATCAACATGATGAGCTTGAAGAGATCTGTCGATGAGATTGAAGCGAATTCAACCGCTGATCAGTCTGAAAATTTCAGTGTTAAGTCATTCGATGGTGATGAGTACAGCGATCACGAGAGTGGAATTTTATCGATGGCTGATGATTCGGGGAGTAATGGAACACTCAACAATGATGTCGGGGATTCAGCTAATTCACCGAGCTCATTCAGGGCACTTCTCATTAATGAATTGCAGAAGGGAAAGAGGTGTGAGCGATGCGAGAGGTGTGACTGCAATTCATATATGAGTATGTTAACCATGAGTACCGAAGGGCCGAGAACGGGATCACTCAGGAGTGAAAAGATATTTCTACAGGAGGAGAAAATGAGTCTCGTGACAAAGTCCATTTTTCGGCTTATTGGGGATGATACTCAACTTAATACCAATACTGGGAGGGGTTTGATTGAAAATTCACCGGATAGTGAGGACGATACTCTCAAGGATGTGTCTGATAAAAATCTTGATAGTGATTTTCCCAGTGAGGAGCGGTTTAGCTCAACTCCAAAATCATCCCCCAAATCGTCACCCAAAAAGATTTCCATATTGAGGAGAATTTATTCTTCTAATTCAGAGCCACTGCACTGTGATGAGATTCAGGGGGAGGCGAGGGGACATCGGGGGAAAATTTTCGTTGAGGATGAGGGGAGTGGCAATCATCAGTCGAGCGATATGAACGGTGTGCAGCTGGATTGTAATCTTTCTGCTATTGATGAATATAAAACATTATCTCAAGGTGATTGTCGTGATGCTGGGGGACAGTGTTTGAGGCCACTTGGGGGGGTGGAGGAGGGCTCTGAGGTACGACGACAGAGGGAGTCTTATCTGGAGGTTGTGCTTGAGGAGGATCATAATGGAGAATTGATAATGGGTACTGGGGAATGGGGTAATTCGGGGAAGACACTGTCGTGTACTGAGACTGGGACTGGGGAGAGATTTAATGGTGAGTGTGGAGGTGACAGTAAAACCACTTCTACTGCAGTACTGGCAGATTACAATTACAAATCTGGGGAAGGTACGAGTGGAGATATTGCTGGAGATGTAGCTAGAGAGAGACTGTCAGGAGTTGAAAATGGAGAAATGTGTTTGTCAAGGGTTGAGGCAAGTGATGGGGGTAATTTGGTATCGATTGGCGATGATCGATGCACGAAGTGTTTGGCAATAAGTCAGTCGGCGGTATTGGAAAAAATTGTTGAACCTACTGTGGAAAATCTGGCAATTCGTTCGAGTGAATTGATTGATATCGATGAGAATACCCAGGACACGTTCATTCTGGACACTCGAAGTGATGAGATTGAAACGTGTGTACAGAACACTATCCGCGGAATCGATGAATTATCTCTAGCTGACACAATTATCATGGATCCGAGCCCAGACAATAGCCGAGACAATAATGATGAACCTTTGCTCGTGGATGGGATTCTGGGTGATGAGCGCTCGTGTGTAATGGAAGACAAACAATTGTCTGAAGATGCAATCACTGGGGATTTCAATAGTGCCAACCAAGTCTCCGTCGTTGATAAAAATTCAACAGATGCTGAATCAATAGGCGAGGGGATAGGGGAGGAATTTGGAATGGGAAATGGAGAAATTGGTTTCGATGGAATTACGATGGTGGAGAAAAATACTGGTGAATCTACGAATTTACCCAGTGAAAATACACGCGATTCGGAATTGCGTTTTGTTGAGTATATTGAGGAGACTGTCGTTATTGAGGAGATGAGAGAGAGTAGAATAACTGACGATGATGATGTCGCTGGTCATTCAACTGGAGGTGTAGGGGTTGAAGAGGCTGGGCAAAGGGAGAAAGTATTTGTAGATGATAATGACACCGCTGGAATTTCTGCAATCGTTCAGAGGGAAACAGATAAGGATTCTCTCTCGGGTGTAGGTGATGATGATGCTTCTGGAGTTCATTCAACTGTCGAAAAGGAGTCTCAGAAAGTTATTGAACAATTTATTGATGATAATGACACCATCAAGGCTTCAATCGTGGAAAAAGAGAGTCAAGGGCCTGCGGAGAGTAAGGCCGTCCTTGCCAACGATAATGACAATCCCCAAGTTGTCAACCAAAATTTACCGAGTGAACAATCTGAATCACCTGAGGAATATCTTAAGGCTGACGGCGGTGATAATGAGGATAGTGAAGCACTTTCCGCTACTGGGGAAAAAGTCGAAGAAAATTTGAAGGACGATGACTATTCTGAGACGATTGATCAAAATAACAGCTGTCCAGATGTTCCAGAAGTTCAAGTCGAGCCTGAAGTACGTACTGACTCCTCTAATATTTATCCAATCACCCAGGACCCTCCAGATTTAACGTCACTAAAAAATTCCGAGGAAGGTCATGAACTCAGTTCCCTCAACGACAACGAGGAGATTGAATTTTTTAATTCTCCCGAGACTTCAGAGGATGAAACAATAAACGTCATTATAAACAATCTTGATCACGATGAGGAGGTTGAAGAGTCTTCATCAACCTCTAACAAAATAATCCCAATGCCAGTGCGTCCAAATGACGTGACTGAGTCAACAGAACCACCAGAACCAACTGAAAACGTGATTGCCCTCGTAAATCGAATAAAACACTCTACAGAAACTTTGCCTAATGAACTTATCACTCTCCCGCCCGATTTACCAACAACAGAAGTGCCCGTACCTTTCCCCAAGTGCTCCAGGTTATTCGTGAAATTAGAACGCCTTAACGCAGATCTTGTCGCCAAGTACCTGAAGTCCCTTCCCCAGAAATCAAAGGAGGAAATGCCACAGTTGAAAATTAAAAAACGAGTGAGATTTTCATCTGAGATAATCTACTTCGGGAGTGACGAGATAAGACCTCTTAAAGACATTCCAGATGAGGAATACACGGATACCACTGAAACCGCATTAAGCTGCGTTGACGAGCCTGAAACCGAGGAAACGAGTGAAGTGTTAGACAAATTGGCTATCGAGACATCACAAACAAGCACCGAATGGAAAGTCGATGGAGGGACGCCACGAAAAGACTCAAATACTGCTTTAACAAGAAAAAAAAGTAGAGATTCGGACGAAGATGAGCCAAAGTGCCACAAGCGAGTAAAAGTGGCCGAAATTCAACCGGAAATTATTCAATCGGAAACGAGTAATCCACCAGAAATAAAAGAGGAGAACGCGAGCGAATCTACAGATGATCTTCCAGAGATTGTGTACGACTCCAGGAGTGCAGCTAATTCTGAGCAACAGAAGAACGTCATTTCGAGGTCTTTTCCGCAGCTCATTAATGTGATAGAAGTCATTGATGTACCAAGTGATACACGAGACTCACGACAGCGTTCGGTATTTCCTCCAGGAGTAATGTCCGAAGTAATATCTGAAAGAATTCTCGAAGCAGAGGCTTCACTTTTACCATCAGAAAGTATTCCAAGATTGGAATTCACTCGAATGAGCAAAATGCCATCAAAGAGATCTCGCTCGCCCTCGTCCTCGATTCCCTCCGTAGTCTCGATAATATCGCCACAATCCTTGGAGAGTTCGATTTTCGACGACATCCATCCTGCTCACTGCAATCGTTACGTTAATACGTATGTGATTCAGTCAGCTTACAGAACAAAGTACCACACAGTAAGTGTGGATAAACGTCTAGCTCTCACCCAAATAACAACGAGAGACTCAAAATTACGAGCTAGATCGAGTAAGGAGAGATTTCTAGTCCAACTTGGCTTGTATCCACTGAATCCAAATCTACAGGAGAACTGGGTGGTTGAGGACAGACACGTGGCCTATATTCAGCGTCAGGAGCCAAGAGTTATGTTACATCGATTGAATGCACCAACATTAAAGCGTTACGGTTACAACCATCGATTCAAGTCCAACAGATCTGGCAAACGTTTTCTCAATGGCAACGACTTCAAAATCCCAGCTTACGATGGACCGGCGGATCTCACATCTAGTGATTCAGAGACTAGTGACAATGAGACTGATATTACAGTTGAGGAGAGAGAGAAAAGAGTGTGCTCGTACAAATCGATAAGAAATAAAGAGAGACTGACAACACCCAGTAAGCGAAAACATCCTGAATCCCTTGAGGAATCACCAGTAGCTGTTAAATGCCTTCGTACAACACCAAAGCGAACACCGAGTAGGCCAAGTATGTTGAAGAGCCCTGGTCGTTTATCAGGGAATTATACCCCCCTTAAAATAATTGTCACGTCTCCCAAGGTACGTAGAGAGGCTTCTGATACCACTGAACAGTTGACAATTGATGCTGATGACGGTGCTTCGGCCTATTGTCTCACACCAAGGAGGAGAGAACAGGGATTGCATGAGAATTTACTACGTGGTAGGATCTCACAAGCAACGCCTATCCAAAGATCAGGTAAAATATCGTCGTAACGATAATTGTTATGTCGTTGATTTAATGCAAAAAAATGAAAAAAAAAAAAACATGAGGAGATTTGGAGTGAGAAAAGAAACGAGTTTTGTTTGATTTTATTTAGGAAGTGATCGTAAGCTGGAACTTACTTGTATCGAGAAATCGTCTCGGTGAGTTTAGTGGGACGAGTCTCACGATTTATGTTTAAGTAGCACAATGATCAGAAAAAAAAAATTGGGTTGTTATTTTATATTTGAAAAAATCCCTGCGACTCTGCAGAGATGATACTTCAGGGTGTGGAGGAACCAGGGAGAGTTATTGTGAGGAAACTGTACGCGGAGTATTATCTGTCGGTCAGGATGTATCCAGGGACATGAACGTTCGCAAGAATCTTTTTACGAAGGGGTCAAGACTATTAGAGGATATAAATATTTCACCGAAAGCCAGTACATCCAGAGACATTGAAATTCAGAGGGAGAATATTGGGGAGGGGCATTCAAAGGGACTTGCCGCTGAAAGGGGGAGTTTATTTCTTGATGAGGAAGAGGAGGATTTCAGGTTGAAATATTCAACGTTAGAGAAGACAATGTTGGGAGGGATTGAGGAGGAAAAAGAGGAAGAAACAGTGCAAACAGAATACGAAGAGGACAATCTGTGTGACATCACGTTCACTCAGTACATATGCTCGCAACTACCCAAAATTACAAGGTCTTCGTCAGAGAAGAGCTCGTCCCAGACTCTGGGGGATCCCAAGAAATCAATAAAAATAATCCCACGGTATAGTCCACCGTCAGTCGAGAGAATTAATGCGACGATGGCCTCCTATGGCATCCCAACGTGCAGAAACCCTCAGCCATTCTTCAGTAAGCAGGCAGACGCCCCCGGACAGAAGGAATTGGCTCACAGGATGCTGAAGGTTCCTGGAAAGGGCCTGGCAGACGTTGTACCTCACAAATCAATTCTGGAGGACGTCACGGGGCTCAACCGCTGGAGAAGACTCAAGATAAACGAATTCCATCCGTCCAAGGGAAAAATCTTGGCATCGAGCATTCGTCAGAGCCTCGCAGGCCATCGTTCCATAATTATCGCGCCATTAATACTTCCGCCCTCTCTGAAATCCGTGAAAACGTGGATGAAGGCGCGAGAATATTTAAACCGTAAGAAGGACGAGAAAAATCAACAGACAAAACACATAAAACTTGAAACAAACACAGAGAATCAAAACACAAGTAAAAGGGAAAATGCTGAGTCTGATGAGAACACTTCAGACTCATCAGACTCAAGTATCGTAGGTCCCTCACCCGAGAAAATCATTCATTCAAACTCATTAAGACTCCTCGGTCGAACTCCACGAAATTACCAAGTTGAAAGAACTTTGCTCACTTCAACATTCAAAACTTGGCAATCAATGTCACCGATGGAGGCGGAAAAATCAATGAACGCAGACAAAAGTTACCCAGACGTGTCAGGCAGGTCATCAAATAAATCTCTGAATCCATCCGTAATGGGTATGCTCGAGGAATCAAAGCTGTTTAGAACTGAGAGCTCCAATCATCCGGGAATATCCTCCGGCCAGATTGAATGTGTGTCGAATTCGACGAGGAATGACGTAGAGATGGAGAACATGCAGAATGCTAAAGCAGTCACAACGTACCAGTACATTACACTCATGTGTGTTGAAGTGCACGTGACGACTCGAGGGGATTTGCTCCCCGACCCTGACCACGATCCACTGTCAGCTATTTTCTACGCAATCCAGAGTGACGTACCACCAGAATCACAGATAAAACCATTAGTCCATGGTGTGATAGCTGTTGCTCCAGAGGGCTCGACTAAAATTGGTTATTCCTATGGTACCAGTGTACCCCTCGACATCACACTTGTCCCTAATGAATCGTCTTTGTTCGAGGCTTTTATAAAACTTGTCACAGCGACAGATCCTGAGATATTCATTGGCTGGGAACTCGAGGCATTGTCCTGGGGCTACATCTTCCAGCGTGCCGCAACCTTCGGTGTTAATTTAAATAAAAGAATATCAAGGATACCTGGGGTTCAGTACAAATGGGAGGCCACAACACCAGACTTGGATGCACTTGGAGAAATCAAGTTACCTGGTCGAGTGGTACTTGACATCTGGCGAATAATGAGACACGAAATGGCTCTGTTAAGTTATTCATTTGAAAATGTCATGTATCACGTTATGAATGAAAGAATACCGTGTCCTAGCTTTAGAACTCTCACTGAGTGGTGGGAAGGGGATATGAGGGTACGGTGGAAGGTTGTTGAGCATTATGGAGTAAGAGTGCTTGGCACTCTGAGAATTCTCGAGCAATTGGATATCATCGGAAGAACCAGCGAGCACGCTAGGCTCTTTGGTATTCAGTTTAATGAGGTTTTTACCCGGGGCAGTCAGTTCAGGGTAGAGTCCATTATGCTGAGGCTTGCTAAGCCCTTGAATTATGTAGCTGTGTCACCATCGCCTCAGCAGAGAGCCGCCATGAGAGCCATGGAGGCACTACCACTCATAATGGAACCCGAATCCATATTCTACAGCGATCCTGTTATTGTTCTTGACTTCCAGAGCTTATATCCGAGTATTATAATAGCACATAATTACTGTTTCTCCACTTGTTTGGGGAGAAATGAACGGATTGGCCAACAGCATCCTTTTGAATTTGGCGCATCTGTTCTTAAAGTAACGAGAAATACAGCTCTCAAGCTCCAGGGAAAAGTCAACTTTGCCCCTTGTGGTGTTGCTTTTGTGAAACCGGAAGTTAGAGTTGGGATCTTGCCGAGAATGCTTACGGAAATACTGGAGACGAGATTTATGGTGAAGAAGGCTATGAAGGATCACGATAAGAATGATAAGACACTGCAGAGAGTACTGCATTCACGACAACTGGGACTTAAGTTTCTTGCGAACGTTACTTATGGATACACTGCTGCTAATTTCACTGGACGAATGCCCTGCATGGAGGTAAATATTTATTTCTCCTCTTTTTATTTATAGACAGTCAGGGAAAAATATTTCTTCGCCAATAAATTTTATTCGAATTCAATAATTCGATGCACGGAGGAAAAAAATTTCGGAACAAAATAATAATAATAATAATAAACAATTAATCAGGTAATAAATAATAAAATAATGAAAAATAATCAATAAAAAATTTGATATTCAGTGTTAATTCCGAGGTATTCAATGGAATGTAAAATTTGGAGGAAATATGAATGCTTTTTTTGAATTATAAATTTTTTATTTCGAAAAGTTGATATCTGGAAGGTTTTATGCAGAAAGAATGTTGAGACGGATTAATACTCCGAGTTACTCCTGGGAAATTTGTTCCTTTCTCGGTAAATTTTTACGTGTCGCTTTATAATTTTTCTATCGATCTCGGCCACACGTAAACCCAGAGGCAGAAAAATTGCGTTTCAGCTTAGGATTTTTCAGAAAGAAGAATATCGTTGCGGCAACGACAGTTGCGAACTGTTATTATGTTTAATCCTCACGCTATTTTCACTTATAATTTACGGATATTTTTTTTCTCATGCAATTCCATATTTAAAAAAAAGGAGATTTCGCGATAAAGCCCAAAGTTTGCAGCAAAACATTTATTCCCGGTCAAAAGATTTCCTCTGATTTGAAAATGTATATTGCATTCGGTGTATGTTCCTCGCAAACAGTTCAGAGTAGTTAGCGCTCACATCGATTTATTTGAAAGGAAAGTTAATATCAATTAAAACTTTCTGGTTGAATTTGTTGAACCGTCTGTTTCGGATTGCTGATGATAATTCATGTTGAGGAACAAATCGCAGAATTTAATGGGAGAAAATATTTCCTTTGAATCCTTAATATTACTATTGATTCTAGGAATTAATCAATGATAAATCATGTTTGTCAGCTCTTTCAATTCTTTCCGTACACTTAACAACTCAACTGCAGTTCGCTAAAGTTATTGCACAGAGGGAAAAGATTTCTTTTTCCTTTCCCCTCGAAAGAGACAAAAAAAATTCTAGGAGCTCTCATATTTTCACTTGATTTAGTCGCGGTAAATCACTCATTTCTAGTGAAGATATTCTAGAATTGAGGGAAAAATCAGAAAAGTTCAATATCTACATATATATCTGCAGAACTAAAATAATAAAGGATTCAATAAGAGGACAGCCTTGTGAAACGAAATACGGGAAGAAGAGGAATAATAATGAAATAAGAAGACCAGTTTAAATACTTTTAACGAGCAAATGTGAATTAAAAACCTCATAACAGCAGTTAGTACCGCCAAATTCAAGAAGCTAGATCTTCTCTAAATGGCAAGCATTAATGCTTACTTTTAGCACAATTACCTCAAATTTAGTGTCTCAATTACTGAGCTCGGAGTTTTTTTTCCGGACTTTAAGAGAGATTTTCTTGGAGTAAGTGAAAAAGTTATTTTATCCGTAGGATTTAATAGTCATTAATTTTCCTAGGGTCAAGTGACTCCTCTTGAGATTAGATATTTTTTTTTCTCTGTGTGAAACTCACGGTTATTTTGACATGGCGAGTTATTTGATTCGACGAGGACTTGTTGGAGAAAAAATGTATTTTCCTCGACGCAGGGTGTTTTAAAGTGAGATGGGGGAATATTGATGGGTTTTTTGCAGGTTGGTGACAGTGTTGTTAGTAAAGGCAAAGAGACGCTGGAACGTGCAATAAAACTCGTGGAGTCGACGGCCAAGTGGGGTGCGAGGGTTGTTTATGGGGATACGGATTCACTTTTTATTCTGGCGCCGGGAAAGTCCAAGGATGAGGCCTTCAAAATTGGATACGAGATGGCCGAGGCTGTTACTGCGGATAATCCATCGCCTGTCAAGTTGAAGTTCGAGAAAGTTCTGTTTCCTGCAATTTTGCAGGTAAAAGTTACTTTCACCCATTATCATATCTGAAATAACTCCGTACGAATGACTCAACGGGTTTCGAAGCAAAAAATGTTCATCGAAATCAATCGACAATTTTCTGAATCGTGGTTTTACAATTTCGAACTTTTTATTGCGGATATTCGCGTTCTTTGGCATTCTCTTTCTTCCATGTTAAAATGTTTTTCAGTGTTAGTCGCTAAGCATGACAGCTGCTTGTAAAGTTATATGACATTTCTATTTTAGGAAACGCGCAGAATGTGAGAAAAATTGTAAAGTCGAGGATGATTCATGGCATTCCTTTCTGAAATGACTCTTTATCATGATAATCCGTAGTTCACAACTTCACAAGTGAATTCATTGCTTTCCAGGTTCTCGCATTTCCATTCTGACGCAGTATGAAAAAAAAATGAGCTTATTAAACTCCATTGCGAAGTTCGGAAAATTTATTGATGCATTAATTAATTGCAAGTTTCTGTTGATCGTGAATTTGAGATTTCCAAGATTACTCATCACAAAATATCATACTTTCCGGCTTTACTTAATGATATTCACGTACCTTTTTGCTCTGGTACCGGACGTTGTATGAATTCTGAAATATCCAATCATCCTGTTCGTCAGTAAGATTGCGTTAGAAAATTTTTAAGACATCCATGAATATTCACCATCATTCAAATTAAATTCTGCAAAGGATACCATTTTCAACATAGTAAAAAAAAAATATATATTTTTAAGCTGGTAATTAAATTAAACCCCTATTAATCTGAAAAAGTCCCGCCTCGGAAGAAAATATCGAGAAGGCATTTTAATCGCAAATGCAATCAGCTACAAGGAAGCCCTCCACCTAAAATCGACAGTTTTCCGATAAATCGATAATTACTAAAAATGGTAAATCCAACTTATCTGCCTCCACCACATCGCCGCTGATTTATCACCAGGCAATAGCCAACTCATCCCTTCAACAGCACCCACTCCTGAATTGCCCCGCTTGCTTGTCGTTCCAGACGAAAAAGCGTTACTGCGGTTACATGTACGAGTCACCAGAGCAAGAGAAGCCGACGTACCTTGCCAAGGGTATCGAGACAGTGCGACGTGACGGTTGCCCAGCAGTCTCCAAGATCCTCGAAAAAACGTTAAAAATTCTGTTCGACACGAAGGACGTCTCCCAAGTGAAGCAGTACGTCGTTCGCCAGCTGGAGAAGATCCTGACTGGTAAGGTGTCCCTTCAGGACCTGACATTTGCAAAAGAATTTCGTGGTATGCGTGGATATAAGGAGCGAGCTTGCGTTCCAGCCCTGGAATTGACTCGTCGCCTCATGAAAAAAGATCCCCGAGCATTACCAAGACACAGCGAGCGAGTAAAATACGTGATTATAGCTGGTGCACCCAATCAAGCGCTCATTCACTGCGTCAGATCGCCCTGGGAGGTACTAAATGATCCTGGCCTGAGGCCTAATGCCGTCTACTACGTAACTCGGGTCATAATTCCACCCCTAAATCGATGCTTAAATCTCATGGGAGTAGACGTTAACACTTGGTACAGAGAAATGCCACACAGACATATTTTACATAATCCCACTGCTCTACCAGGTGATAAACAAAAACAAACGATTTTCCAATACTTCGGTAATATTGTTTGTGCTGCGTGCGGTCAGACTAGCAGCCGAGCTTTGTGCTACGATTGTCACTCGAGACCGAGCGATACGCTCGTTGTGCTCAATGAAAAATTGAGATGGTTGGAGCGAGTATATGAACAAGCAACAAGCATATGTCAATCTTGCACTGGACGTGGTGATGCACCTCAGTGTATATCACTCGATTGCCCAGTTCTTTATCGTCGGGCTCAAGCACAAAGGGAATTAACACAGGGAGCTCAATTGGAGAGAATAATCAAACAGGAGAATATTGATTTTTAATGAAAATCGTGATAGTTTATTTTAGGCTTCCAAAAAATCAGGGGTTTGTGAGAATTTAATATTGGGAAATAATCTTGATATATTTTTTCAAACTCCTTGCATTATCCACTATTTTCTATGGTGCAAGAATCTATTATTTTGAGGGATTTCATTATTCCGTGGTGGATGAGCGTAATGTGTCTTACGAATTGATGAATTGGCATTGATAATGTTTTTACGAGGTATAATACAAAGTTATTTTCTAATACCAAAATTTTTATACTGAATAATTGGGGCTTGTAAAAGTGATAAGGTATATATTTTTCATAGTGTGATGATTGATTTTTTGGGAACATCTTCCGTAGTTTTTACTACAATGCTCTTTGCTCATCAGTAAACCAGAATAGGTTTATCAATTGATTTAAGTATTTCCTGATTATTAATCCACCAAAGGTTTTGAGAATTGCATCACTCGGGCTCATTCGCTTTCAAGGCCAAAAATATTAAAAAATTTGGGAATTCAGTTGTGCGGAATGAAGTTCTTGCTAATTCTCTTTGAGTTATCGATTTTCAGTCATAATGGTAAATCGCACATGGACATAATCAATAGACATTTGGGAAAGACGACTAATGGTCGAGCTAGTGGTGAAATTGATGAAGAATTTGTCGAATGAACTCAGTACGCTTAGTTAACTGATTTAATTTCGTTAGATAATAATTGAGAGGCTGAGAGAGGCCTCCAAGTGCCATGTTCCTCATTATTAATCTCATGGAGAATACTTACCGAATTAAAGTTTATCATAAAGTATATTATTGATTGAAACACATTGACATAACTAAAATGAAAACTTATCGATATCAAAGGAGTCACAAGCCGCCGGCGGTCTGTGATAGAGCGTTTGCACCTGATTAAATTAATCGCGAGAAAAGTTAAAATCCTTGCTGGGTGAATAAAAATTGTGTTTGGATATATAAATTCCGAGGAATTTTTAATTCGGTAAAATGTACTGACTCCAGTGATTGATGCGTCACACTGACGGTTTTTGGGACATTGAGATGAATATATTTGTGTAAAAATTGGGTGAGAGACGATGTGTAAAGTTATTGGAAGCAAATTACCGTTGAGTTTTGTCCCTTGGGGAGGATTCCTCTGGGTTTCCAACATCACGGGAGATTGGATTGAGAAGCATCACATGTTATCTCGTGATTTTGTGGATACGAGGGTGAGAATTAGTGCGGAAAAATCATTGTTCCTTGTGCGAACGCTGTATGGGAGCTTCCGACGATGGAATCCAATTTTTTTTTACTTCAGTCCAACTATTATGTACGTTCCTCGTATTTGCTTTTCAAGCTGTGAGGTATTTTCTCTTCACGAACAATGCATCAATGCATGCAAAATAATTCCACCCCCTAGGATATTCATTATAATTTGAAATTTGAATATTAAAAATGTGGGGTAGACGTATTTGCCTAGTAAATTTTGGAAAAACTGGACTCTTGGGTTAACACGTTTGCAAAAAGCAATTGGGGAATAAGCCGACATGTTACTCCACCAATTTACTGATTCCATCGTCTTGTCCTCCCAGAAGGTGAAAAAGTGATACACAATGATCTGTGGAAAATAGTTGACATGTATAGGAAATTGTAAATTAATCATGGCATCATAGGTGATGGAATGTGACAGTTAAATAATAAACATCACGTTTTTTTTTAATTGAAAAAATTATGGAAAGTTCATAAAGCAGATCCAATTGAAAAAAAAAACTGCAAAGCAAACGTTTTCGATAGTTCGATAGATAGTTTTCCGAATTTTTCACTTTTTAAAATAATTTACGGTGTGAAAATATTTTTTCAATCTTCTGAAAACAAATCAGGACCTCAATTTAACAGCCCGTGAATTCGAGAACACATGGGAATTTCACCTTTAAAAAAAATGAAAAACCACTCACTGATTGGAGAAACTCGTAGAATTAATTAACAACGAAAGAGTATTCATTGCGTTGTATGTATTACATGAGTTTATCGTTGTTAACCCATTTGATTGATGAGTAAAAGGAAGCGACATAAAAACGCATAAATAAATGACGCGTGTGTGATATAGATATATGTGGATTAGGGAAGGGCATTTAAATTTTAAACATACTCTTGTACATAGTATATTCATTTTTTCGTACAAATGAAAGACTGCTAACGTAACTTCTCTACGCCACATCCTAAAACGCGTAACGATAAGTTAATAAAGTGAATGAGATGATTATTCTAAAAGGAAATAGTTTAGTTATTGATGATGGAGAAAAAGAATATTAATGATAACACAGTCGTTGTTGAGGTGGGGCATTGTTTCCGCATTACTTCTTCTCAATCCCTTATGGCTCATTGTTGTGAGTTTTATTTTTGTACTTAAGTTGTTCCCAATGGGCATGCCCAGTTCGGCATATGCGTCACAATATCTTTTTATTTTCGTTTCTATATTTCAAATATATTTCAAATTTATCAACGCAGTGGTGAGAACAACCAAAATTACTCTATTGGCTTTATTATTGATAGAATGAAATGCCTTTTCTGATGACTGTGATACATGGTCTCATTTGAGTTATTATATCGTTTTTCCACCTTTGTAGAGTAATTAATAAAAATGTAACTCTTGAGTAAAATTAATCGTGTATTTACTTATTCCCTGAAATTTCACTTTATGAGAAACATGAATTAGTAGAGAAGTTGCAGAATTGTCGCCGTTTCACTAATGAATGATGACGAGAGAAATTTAGAGCTATTTTTGCTCGTCCTACGCCCTCGCAATCTTATTCAAAATTTAATTGGCTATTACATTCTCATTTTCACGTTGCAGCTTGGAATGAAGTTTAAAATTCAATTATTCATGAATTTATGGGATATTCTGAAAATATTGTTTTTAATCTTTTAATTATGTAGTGACATTGAATTTTTGCAATGTATTATTCAAATTTAATATTGTGTCATTTGAATTTTGTACACAGTGGAGATTAATAGCTCTGGCACGTGAATTTCCATAATTTTCGATTAACATGGCAAATTGAAATTAAAATATTCATTTTATTTTCATAAACTCAATTCCAGTGGCGTAAGAAACTTGGAAATTCCTCCTCATCACTTGCTATTAAATTTTTCAGCGATTTTCCCTGAAATGCGAAGTGAGAAAATTTTATATATTAAATTCAGGAATAAAAAGAAGTCCACAAAGTAGATTTATACACTCAATTTTTTATTCACCATATTTCAATCCTTTCATATGCGACATTCCATAAAAGTGCACTTTTCATCACTCTGAATTTGATAAACATCCATATACGAACATTAATAAACTTTTAGATAAATTCGGGTGCGGTTTGTTTTTGTGCGAGAATAATTCCATAAATTCAGTCTTGATATTCCCCAATAATGGCGCAAAAAAAAATAATCAATTAGAAAAATAGTGCTAGCCTATTTGAAACAGATGACCATCGATGACGAAAACCGCAATGATGGACAAACCGAGGAAACCAGCCACAATAGCATGACAGCTGTACAGAGATTGCCGATTATCCCCAGAATTAGCATTTCCGCACCCAGTACGAATATTGGAAGAGTGAGTTTTGATTCATGTATCGACGTTTAGAGCAGCTGTAGGTCACATCAACGTACCGAATAGACTATGCAAACATTTACGTACACACTGGTCGTTAATTAGATTGTATCCATCGATCTATACTAATGAACCGGACCGCAAACTTGCCTCTCCGACATTAATTACCAGGTCGCAATGAACAATCAAATTATTCGAATGAAAAGACACGAGCAAATATCTGAACAATACAAATACCCAATCAATTATTGAGCCTGTTAATTAAACTTGGATGTTGATAAAACATTGATTAACCGATGATAGACAAAATAAATACATAATCGTTATCATGAATACAATCTTATATAATCATATGCATGAGAAATCTCTAAAATAATTGAAACGACATCGAACATTTTGGCAACGACAATAAGTTGATAATATTCTTAAACCTATGTCAACCCCTGAAGGAAATTCCCATGCTGTCGTCTCAAGTAAATCGCAGAGCTCGAGCATCTGACAGCAGTCGAACCCTGAGTCTTCGTTAGAGAACAATGCAGGAGCTTTTCTCCCTGAAGGGATTGGATTTCTGCGATGAGAATCCAACGAGCAGGCAATCCTCCTGCTCATGCTCAGTAATATACTTCATGATGTCTTCAACAGCTTTACTCACTGTTATTCGCTTGATAGCAGCTTCACGCCTCAGCTGCTCAGTCACTTGACGTTGCTGTTGTAAATTTGTGATCACCATGTCCATAACCGCTGTATCTGACAGACCTATTTTGCGGGCGTGGTCTTAACACTTCAACAGGAAACACACAGCCCAATTGAGGCTCCAACAAGTTATTAGCCACTGAGTTTCACCAAAAGCCCAGAGCTTTTGCACTTGCACTTGGCTTGAATTTCAATTCAGCCTTCGAGGTGACGAGTTAACACTTTGGGTCGAGTTATTTTTGGTCGCGAGAAGATTTTCGAGATTTTCTGACGTTTTCGTTGGTGATTCGTAGTAGTTCTTGAGAGAATGGGGGAGAATGCTCCGAAAACAAATGGATGATAATGGCTGATGCCAAAGAGGATTGAATAAAGTAGAGGCTCAGTTCTGGGAGTTTGAGTGACCCCAGGGGCATTGTAGTACTGCACCCCAAGTGAGTGAGGGCGCTACACGCAATGCTGGGGTGTCTGCCCGTCAGCCGACTCGGTAACTACCTCAGTAGCAATCCCCAAGTATGATGATGATGATATGATTTTTATGGCACTGACTGAGATGTCTTGCGGCCGTCAATCCCGAAGTACTATGAAGCCGCTGGGGTCACTCAAACCCCCAGAACCGAGCCTCTACTTTAGTCAATCCACTTTGGCTGCGGGAATGGAGGATGGGGATCCGGAGTGAAATCAGCGGTTTTTGAGGACTCGCCTTCAGGGAAGTCCAGAGGCTTATGGGTAGATGACTTCACATTACTCCGTTCGAGTGATTTTCTTCGAGACACATGTGACAGTGTTTAATTATTATTGAAAAATGGCTTTACACGTACCGAAGGCACCGGGCATGGCCTCGATGATGAAGGAGGGCTCTCTGGTAAGGTTTCAATATTTGTTAGCCGGATTCATGACGCTTTTTATGTGCAAATAGTTCATCTTGCCGGTTACCAGCAACGCGCTGGATATGAACGTCATCTATATATATTGCCTTTTATGGGCAACGAGAAGACTCTGGATCATTCTGAATTAAAAATGGATTCAGAGGCGAATAAAATCATCGGCAAAATTTCAAATTGTTTATTGATATTAATTGTTGAATTTTTGGACTCCGTGTTCCCTCTCATTATGCAAAAATAAATTTATGCTTATGATAATTGGGGAATAAATCATCAACCCATCTCTATCTGATCTCATTATGAAGTAAAGGTATTGATGTGGAATAGAATGGGTATCCACTTGTTTGGATTATTTTCAGTATTTCTCTGGTCTCGAGGAAGCAGTCTTCAGGAACATCTCAGCATGCAAAGAGTTCGCCCAGACAGTGCGCACTGCGTATGGACCTAATGGTATGAACAAAATGGTGATTAATCACATTGAGAAATTGTTCGTCACCAGTGACGCTGGGACCATCATCAGGGAGCTGGAAGTAGAACATCCAGCTGCTAAGCTCATGGTCATGGCATCACAGATGCAAGAGGCTGAGGTTGGGGATGGCACGAATTTTGTCATCATGTTTTGTGGTGCTCTTCTCGAGGCTGCTGATGAACTACTTCGTCTGGGTATTACCACATCTGAAGTGGTGATTGGTTATGAAGTGGCCCTTGAAAAAGCAATTGAAATTCTTTCGACCCTGGTGATTCATGAGATTAAAGACGTAAGGAACGCCGAGGAGGTAAAGGCAGTGATGAAGTCTTCAATAATGAGCAAACAGTATGGGAATGAAGAGCTACTGTCATCTCTGGTCAGTCAGGCCTGCATCTCCATTCTCCCTGAGAAAACTACATTTAATGTTGATCACATACGAGTCTGCAAGATCCTGGGATCTGGCATTCACGCATCCCAGGTGATCCAGGGGATGGTCTTCAAGCGAGATGTTGAAGGCGATGTGACAAAGCACGAGAAGGCTAAGATCGCTGTCTACACGTGTCCCATCGATATTGCCACCACTGAGACTAAAGGAACTGTTCTCATCAAGAGCGCCAAGGAGCTCCTCGATTTCTCCAGGGGTGAGGAGTCACTCTTGGAGGGGCAAATCAAGGCTATTGCAGATTCTGGAGCTAAAGTAATTGTCTCTGGGGCTAAATTCGGAGATATGGCTCTGCATTTCGTTAATAAATACAAACTCATGGCTGTGCGCATTCCAAGTAAATTTGATGTTCGGAGATTGTGCAAGGCTGTTGGAGCTACTGCTCTCACTAAATTGGTAAATACTTCGGCAAACAATTTGGAGAATCCAAAACTTACCCGAATGAATTTATTGTTATTAATCTCTTTATCTCTTCGTTACTGAATGCATTTGATTCCCTTCAGATCCCACCGACTCAAGAAGAACTCGGTTACGCTGACTCAGTGCACACTGATGAACTTGGAGACACTGCTGTGGTAGTATTCAGGCTCGATGGAAAAGACAGTAAGATTAGTACAATCGTTATTCGTGGGTCAACCGAGAATCACATGGATGACATCGAGCGTTGCATTGACGACGGTGTGAACACATTCAAGGCCCTCACCAGGGATGGAAGATTTGTGGCAGGAGCTGGAGCTATTGAAATCGAGTTGGCTGCCCAAATTGCTGCTTACGCTGACACTCGTCCTGGATTGGAGCAGTATGCAGTGAGGAAATTTGCAAGCGCCTTGGAGGTCTTCCCTAAGACTCTTGCTGAGAACACTGGAAACAGGGCTAATGAGTTAGTTTCTAAACTTTATGCAGCTCATAAAGAAGGAAATAAAACATTTGGATTTGATATTGAGGTAATTTATATTTTCTGATATTATTTTTTATCTTTCTGATATTATTTTTTTATTCCTGCTCCTTTTTTTGGTTAAATAAATTTTATAGGGCACTGGAGCTGCCGTACATGATGCAGTCAAAGCTGGAATTTTGGATGCATTCTTAGTAAAGCAGTGGGGTCTAAAATACGCAGTGGATGCTGCCTGTACCATCCTCAAGGTCGATCAAATAATCATGGCCAAACGCGCAGGTGGACCGAAACCCCCAGCAGGACAACACAATCACAACAGCGACGATGAGTCATAAAGTCATATTACCCTTCGTAATTTTTTTACATCGTTATACTCGCGAAAATGAATTCACACGCTTTGTTTAATAAGATATACATATTGAAGAGATTCGTTATGTACCTCCTCATTTCCCACGATTTTCACTGCGGTGTCATTGGATTAAAATTTTTTTATTCAGCAAAATGAAAATTTCCACTGATCTCCATTGTCACGAAAATTCATACGGAGCATTTCAAAGTTAAATAAAATTAATAATTTCACAAGAAGTAATTGGATTAATTCATTCCGCATCCGTTCGTAATGAAATCCCACGGAAAACTGTGTAAACGTTAAGCTTTCGTGAATTTTTTGTAGAATCCCAAAAAAAAACACAATGTACGATTCTTGGACGCGATTGCTGTCAAAAATTCTAGCAATTTGCAATCCCACAGAATCGATTGTTCTCAATCAATAACTCTCATTGCATGTTCAACTGCCATTATTTCCGACCTTGATCCCCACCAAAAACTTCCCTCCGCATTCACCAGGGAAGTATTAATATTTCTAATCCTAAAAATACTAGATAAGCTTGCCAATAATCCCTCCTAGCCCCTGAAATATCATAGAACCTTCTCGACGTGGAATAAAACTACCGAAAACACTAGTCCCTCCGAAAACTCAACGCTCCATTCACCTCAAATGAAACCGCAAACACATAGTTTTCGTACAAATTCGCTTGTGCGAGGTCCACCGTAAATTGCTATTTGCTCTCCGATTGGTCGATACCATATAAATACCGGCCAGCCCACGCGCGTTCCCAGTATTCAAAAACTACTCAAAGTATCAACTGCGCTTTAAACAAACACCTCATCACTTCATTTACGTAATTCAGTTATTACGCGTGAGTTAGCGATCGAATTGCATTAAAGTAAAAAGTGTACGCGTTACCAATTCAAATAATTCGTTATCTCCAATTAATTGCACATGGCTAACTAACTAAAATTGGATTCGGCACAGTTTAATTCAGGTGAACATCAGGAACTATTTACCTAAATCTATTTAGATATTTTTATTGGCCAATATTTATTTTCAATAAACAAAAGACAGGATCAATTAAAAACTAGTAAATTAGAAAATTCCATGATTATTTTGAATTGTGTTGAAACAAATTGAGGTACAATTTCTAGAGAAATTGGATTTTGGTGAATAATATTATATTGTCCCGCTAAATATTGGTATAAAGGAAGATATAGAGAAATGCCGGCGGTTGGGATAGACCTGGGTACGACGTACTCGTGTGTGGGAGTGTGGCAGCATGGAAAAGTCGAGATAATCGCTAACGATCAAGGAAATAGGACGACACCATCTTACGTGGCCTTCACGGACACAGAGAGACTGATCGGTGATGCTGCCAAGAATCAAGTTGCCATGAATCCCACTAACACAGTATTCGATGCCAAACGACTGATTGGGCGTCGTTACGATGACTCAAAGGTGCAACAGGATCTCAAGCACTGGCCATTTAAAGTTATAAATGAAGGTGGAAAGCCGAAAATTCAGGTGGACTTCAAAGGGGAGCGCAAAGTGTTTGCCCCGGAGGAAATTAGCTCCATGATCCTCGTGAAGATGCGAGAGACATCTGAGGCCTTTCTCGGGTTTAATGTCCGAGACGCTGTGATAACGGTTCCAGCTTATTTCAATGATTCTCAACGTCAGGCAACCAAGGACGCAGGTGCAATTGCAGGACTCAATGTTCTGCGAATAATAAACGAACCGACAGCAGCGGCTCTGGCTTACGGATTGGATAAGAATCTCAAAGGCGAGAAGAATATTTTGATATTCGACCTGGGGGGAGGTACCTTCGACGTGTCGATTCTCTCTATCGACGAGGGATCGCTATTCGAGGTAAAAGCAACTGCTGGAGACACTCATCTCGGGGGAGAGGACTTTGACTCGCGACTGGTTCGTCACTTCGCCCAGGAGTTCGATAGAAAATACAAGAAGGATTTGACGAAGAACCCGAGGGCTCTGAGGAGACTCAGGACAGCAGCTGAGCGAGCCAAGAGAACTTTGTCCTCGAGCACTGAAGCAACAATGGAAATCGACGCACTTTACGAGGGTGTGGACTTCTACACGAAAATTTCGAGAGCGAGATTCGAGGAACTTTGTTCCGATCTTTTCAGGGCGACCCTCGAGCCCGTGGAGAAGGCACTCAATGACGCCAAGATGGATAAGAAAATTGTCAATGATATCGTCATGGTCGGAGGCTCCACGAGGATACCGAAGATTCAGTCATTGCTGCAGAATTTTTTCAATGGCAAACAACTCAATCTGTCTATCAATCCCGATGAGGCTGTCGCCTATGGTGCAGCTGTACAGGCTGCAATTCTAACTGGAGCTGGAAATACGAGTTCTGCACTTCAGGATGTTCTACTCGTGGATGTGACACCGTTGTCTCTGGGGATTGAGACAGCTGGTGGCGTGATGACGACTTTGATCGAACGAAACGCGAGAATTCCATGCAAGCAGATGCAGATATTTACGACTTATTCGGATAATCAACCGGGGGTGGCGGTTCAGGTGTTCGAGGGAGAGAGGGCTATGACGAAGGATAATAATCTGCTTGGAAATTTTGATCTCTCTGGAATAGCACCCGCTCCAAGGGGAGTGCCAAAAATCGAAGTGACTTTTGATCTGGATGCCAATGGAATTCTTCATGTGACAGCCAAGGACACGGGCAGTGGCAGATCGAGGGATGTTACTATCAGGAATGATAAGGGGCGACTCAGTCGCGCGGAGATTGATAAGATGCTGAGGGATGCGGAGAGGTACAGGGAGGAGGATCAGAGGCAGAGGGAGAGGGTGGCTATGAAAAATAAGTTGGAGGCTTATGTCTATTCTGTGAAACAGGCGGTGGAGGAGAGCGGAGGAAAGCTCAATGATGGGGACAGAAGGAAGGTTTTAGATATGTGTGAGGATACCATCAGGTGGTTGGAGGGAAATTCTCTGGCGGAGAAGGAGGAGTGCCAGCATAAGTTTGAGACACTTCAGGCTCAGTGCTCGCCGATCATGACGAAACTACATCGAGGAGGGCAAAATGATGGGCCTACTATTGAAGAAGTTGACTGAAGAGAGGAATCCCCTTCGGTAACACCAGTTCACATTTTTTTTTTCATACCATTTTTCCCCAGGATTACGAGAAACGTAATGGAGAAAGTTTATTCTGCCGTGGAAGGATTATGCAAATTTATTTACATTGTTCTCCTATTTGATTTTTCTTATAATTTTAGTTCTCCCTTCTCATTTATTTTTCGATAATCTTCGGGGTTCCATTTTCATGTGTAAATTCTGAGAATTTAATCAATGAATGAATAAGATTAATCGATTAATTATTTAATTAGATTGATTAATTAATTTTTAGCAATGGTTGCTTTCTACTACATTTCTGCAGGGTGGAATTGCCGTAGTAATAAAAATGACAGTGAATTGCGTAGAATTTTCAGCTTTAACTCTGTAAGAATTTCGGCCTGGATCGATATTCCTTCCGCTATTAGAAAATGCGATTCACTATGTTTTCATTGACTGATGTTTTATATGGTGAGATGGCGAGAAATAAAAGAGGTTTTTAAAATGATGGGCCTTTTAATATGGAGTGGATGATCTCATTGGTAATATTAATTCACGTCGTGGGGTATTCTTGGTAGAATTGTATTTTAATGCTTCCCACTATTTATCACCTGGAAATTCCATGTCCAATTCCATTTTTTAACGTAAAACAGCAAAAATATTGTGACATTTAAGAATTCATTCATTTTTCAACGAGTAGAAGTTTCTCATGGCGATAATTTCGAAAGTGTCTTATGATTGTTCCAATAAAAAATGTAAAAATCCATCTGTTAGGAAACAATATCTGTATTTCCACTTCAATAATAATTTTTTTGTACAATGTGGATGAAAATCATCAACTGGGAACGATAGCTTTTGATACACTGGAATTCTCAAGCTCTTGTATTTTTAAGAGTAAACTCGCTATTGTATGCCTCAGTAAATGAAATTTAGTCATACTCATTTCAAACATGCACCGTTGTCCTGTACTTAATGTCCATTCCATCAAAATCGTTGGTTCCAAAATACGTGAGAGATAACTGGAAATTAAAAAATGATATTTCGATGTAATTTGCAGTATTCCGACCCAAACGCAATGAAAATAACGATAAAAAATTCTTCATTTTCTGGCACTCATCCGCCAATTATGACTCTTGATTCAATCGCGTGCAGTAATTATCGTTGATACGAAGAAGAAAAATACCTGGAAGATATCGTAATATCAATTCTCCATCGACAAGATTTCAACGTTGGAAAGAATTTAATTTTCTCCGTTAAATTATGGATGAGAGCCGGTCGCTTGTGCCCATACAAAACAGCGCACAAATCTTCAATACAATTACTTTCAAATCTGGAATAAAATAAGGAGTTAATAACGAGATTGAATTCACATTCAGAAAATATCGAGATGAACATTTGCATGATGTGGGATTGACATTACTTCAGCTCCTGCAGGCATTGTTTAAAATCAGAAGTCTTCATGGGATTATTCGAAGATCGCAGATGAGCCCTGAAAATAGTGAGAACTGCCGAGTACCACTCATCGACTTTTTCCTGCGGTAAGTTGTACTTTTCAGATAATCTGTCGAGAATCCCATCCTCAATGTGTTCTTGCTCAATGGCTTTCACGGCCACTGCAAATCATAGAATAAATATTCCTTTAAAATATCTAAAAATAGTTTCCCTTGCAGAAAATAATTTCAGCAATGGAACGGTTAAAGGAGGTTATTGAACCCTTCGATGGATTTTCATATTGTTTATAATATTCAATTTTTAATTTATTAAAATAAAATTGCAATGATATTTATAATATTTTAAAGAACAGGTGAGGAATTTTATTCATTCGTAAAACTCAGGTGATGTATCAACCCTAGACTCAATAACTTGTCTGAAATGTTGAAGGGAACTTTATTCTCTTCAAGAATTCAACTACCTTTTTATTTTCAACTCACATTGAATCAGTGGACGCAAAATAGTCTTCTTTATCTCTGATATATGTTTCCCCTTGCTTCCTAAAGCTGTTGTTAAATACGTCGCTGTATCACTGGACATGAGGGAAACCTTCTCTTTCCTTGATGTTGATTACTCCAATTTCTCCAGCTGCATGAAACGAACATCAACGTGAGATGTTTGATGAAAATCGTTCCATCATGATTCCGATAATTCCTACTGACGCAGCAGCGGATAAAGACCGAGGCTACCATGCCCACTCTTTCCAATAAAATATTTAAAAGAATTTGAAAGGCACCCAAATTAATGGAGATTTGATGAGATACTCTAGCTTTACAGTTAGAACACCCTTTCAACTTCCAAAACTCAATTCTACCTCAATCCGTTATTTTCCTAATTCCAATAAAATGTAGGACATACATAGAACACATTCTACTCGTCACTAAAAAAAATAATTTCTTTGCAATCGGCGCGGGTATCAGCCCCATGTTCATAAAAATACATTGTTTCAAAATTAAAATGATGATTAGTGTTGAATGCAGGTGCCAGCATTATTTTTTCTGGCGTTTACATATACTGGAGTATTTAGAAATTGTTTACACTCCCAGTTGACTATATTCTGCAATGTTTAATTTAAATGGTTCTGAATATTTATCAACTTTTCCGGAATTTTCTAATGCAAATCGATTAATAAGAGTTTTGAATATTCCTATCATCTCGTAGAATCAGTTTTATATTTTTGCCTTTTGGAATTATCGGGTAAATCAATTTTCGATATGAAAATACATCCTGTGAGAGCTTGTGTATTATCATAAAAAATTATTTATTTCATTCGTTAAAACTGTTGTTTTTCTAGGGTTCTACAACAATACAACACTAAAACTCATGAAATCCGTAAATAATAATCTCGATGTATTCAAATAAATAAATATTTTACAAATCATAAAGATTATAAAATCCTGATCACTTTACAATGGCTAGAATAGATCATCGCCTCCGAAATCAAAACCACCATAATCATCCCCATAATCGTAATCGTCAGCTCCAGGTGGTACGAAAATTCCTCCCAAAAATCCGGACAGTTGTTCACCAAGTCCCATGCTCTTTGCGAGCCCGAAGATGAGCCTCATTAACACGAGCCTTATGAAATTCGGAGTATTCGTCTCTTTATTTTGCAATTGAAATTGTCTCCTCTCCACATCTGCAGTACATTGAATCGTACTAAGCTGCAAGAAAAATTCAAAATACCATGACGATTAATTTAACTTCAACGTGTTCAATTATCAACCACCAACCCGTTCAAAACCAATTACCAAATTCTATGAATCCATATGAATTAATTATTATTAATTACAATAGGTAGGGAAAAATGAAAAAACTTATACATACGTTCAAACAAATAATTACGAAGATAAAAACGATGGAGCTCCTCATCCCGAGCGTAATTCCCCCAAACATGATCAATAAGTCACTTTCTTGAAAAATTATTCCATGAAATGGCCAATAATTTTTTTTAAGTGAAAAATGATTAATTATGAATTTTGCAATGAGTCGCCGAAGGATTTTGAGTGAATTTGAATGCACTGGCGGTGGTACTTCGGACGACGAGGGGAAAAAAAATAATCGCCTGGAAAAATAAATGTAACGCGTTCACCTCAGGTCCCTGACGATACTGGCGTTATTCTTACTATTCCCGTGTAACCATATGCGATAACTATTTCTGATCCCTTCCTCTTTCTCTTTCCCCTATTTTTTTTTCACATCAAACACTTCACAAGACAGGTATTTAGAGAGTGACGGTCGAGAGGAGACGAGCAGCAGTACCTCTCGGAGGTACTAAGTTGCTTTATGATAACGGTATGCCACGAAAAAAGGCATTCAGGCCACATGGAGTCCTGCCTTTTGCCTTCAAACAACTGTACGATACCGAAGAGCGTTGATTGGATTTCCAAGTGGATGACACCAAACCCACATTTCAGAGACATTAGGAAATACTCGATATGCCATTCATTTCGTATTGAAATCACGTGGGTTAAAAGTAGTACTCCGAAAGTTTCAAGAAATAATAAAAAAATTAATTCCACCTAATACCCTGAATTACTCATCAATTCATTACAATAATAACGTAATGAATTGTTTTTTAAAAATAAAATGCAGGTGGGAAAATAAAAAAATCGTTTTACGCTGCAGCTCAGGAATTTCATTGGGTGAATGAATATTCAGAGGATGATGAATAATTTTCGATGGGGGGATCATTCTGGTGATGTTTATTTTCCTGACGTCAATTGCATGTGATCTTGAACATTTGTATGACGAAGGACTCGCGGAATTCAATGGAAATCAGAAGACATGAACGACTCATTGAGGGGACTACTATTCCACTTCTCGGGGAACATCTGCCGATTGGGAGAAACCAAAAAATCTTGACCATTCGGCATTGGTCGAGAAGTTCGCGGGAAATGGGTCAAATTTATTAGGAAGAACATACCAGTCAGTTTGATTTTTAAACCCAGCTTTCTAATTTCTTGTGGTACCAGGACATTAATTTCACGAGGATAGTACCACCGGAATTTGTTGGAGATGTTTCTGAGTTTTAGCTGTGAATTTTTTATCAATCAACAGTTGATTCCGTACATATTTTCTTCCTAGATAATAAAATTTCCAAGGACTGGAAAAACATGGCGGTAAAAAAAAATTTTATCGCGCCTCAATATCCCAGATTGAGCCCCTGGCACCTGCAATGCTCCACCAAATTCTGAAAAAATTCCCTTCCTAAAATCGTTAAAAAATATTTTCAAATTAGAACCAGAATATCTGAAGAATTCCAGCGTAGAAATTCCTGTCAGAATTCCCCATCAATGCGCATCCATAAATTGAACCTCGCCTCCCTCAATATTTATGAATCACCCATACCTTGAATTATACAATTGCATGACTGGCATTCCCTCGTTAATTAACCAATCACTGTCTGAATTTGAACACCGCAGGATGATTGAACGGGTGGCGAATGTCGGTGGAATGAAAAATCCAGTATAAAAGTAATGGGCAGACAGCAAGAAGAGCAAAAGGACAAGTGCAACTGCACAAAAGGAAAATATTGAATGAGGCTCAGGGTGACGCAGAGAAACCGATTGATTGTCCAGTGAGCCAAGACAAACCCTGGACTATTACCACCTAGGAGAAATAGTAAAGAAATAAAACGATTGAAGAAAGAGTGGATGTAGGCAGGATGTGCGCTTGGGGACCGGATGTTACCGCCTCCGAATACTCAAGCAGTTCCAGAAACCGAGGAAATGTACCCTCTCGCATTCACATGTATGCGCTTTAGTCGCACACTCATCCATGGAATTCTAAATAATCCAAACCATTTATACCGAGACTTGAACAAACCATAAACATGATCACCCACAATTCCCACAATTTAAATTCCATTTTCATTTATTTATTGCCCCCAATCGAATATTTTTTCCCCATCCCCGGGACAACATTTCCCTTCATAGCTTCATTTTTGTCGTGCTCTTCCTTTTATTGATTCGGCTCGTGGGGTTTATTTCCATCGAATGCATAAAAAAGGGGAAAAAAGGAAAAAAAGGGGAAATAGCATTGGAATACATCGGCCATATATTTTGTTAAATTGAATGGAACGTATCCCGAGTGAAGCGTTTGGTGGTAAAAGCAGTGATCAATAAGACCACTCGGAGCCGGCACGTATACTTGTTTTATATACGAGTGAACAGTGCAACGATGCACAAAACCCCAAGGTAAATACAATTCCGGGAGGAATGATAGAGGGAGATGGCCGAGGAGAGTTCCTCGACCCAGAGGCAATGCGACGTTATCCAACATCGCGTACGTCGTTGTATGTACATTGAAAAGACACGAGTGGCATTATGCTCACCGACACCCCCATGCCTGTTTCAGGACTTGCTCGATGTATCAATGTTCTGTGAATAAAACATACCCAGCTAAATTACCAGGACTAGTCTGTCAGGTGGTGCGTGCTGCTGTCAATAATGTGTCAGGGATCGTGTATTTATGTCAATCACTTTTTTTCATTTTCTTCTCTTCCGTTGTTTAGATTTACGGAAAAAAAAACATTTATTCTCATTATTTTTAGTTAGACATTCCACAATTCAGAGAACAATCCACTCCTTTAAAAATTAATGAACATTCTTCATTTCCTGACATTTAATTTTTTTTTTTCATTATAATATAATATAATATAGATTTCCATTCATTCGCAGTTACATGAGATGAATTTTTCTATTAAAAAATCAGTAGTTTCTTTGCGATAAAATAAATTACAAAAAATGGAAATGGATTGTTTTCTGAGATTTTGATTTTAGGAATGACTCTTTGATGAGGGAATTTTTATTGATAGTATATTGGGGTCGTCACAGGGAAATGAGGGAATGATGGAGAATTTAATCGAAATATCGAGCAGGGGATATTTGGGGTGGAGGTGCATAATCGAATAAACCAATGAGAGATTCTCGAGAAGGCGCGCGCTTGAGAGGCAAGCGCGGTAATTGAAAATGTGCGATAACTATGGTCTTTGGTCTCACACACAATTCATGGCGCAGAGGTTTGTCACACCGTGTGTGGTTCCTCAGGCTGACAACTTCTCAGTTCATTCGGTGTAGACTACCCTCAGTGGACAAGTGACTTCAACAGTACAACAGCAGTGCGAGCAATCGGATGCCGATCGTCATCGGTTGCTGGGATAATTGTTAAAATATCAAAATAATTTTCGAGTGACTTTGGAAAATGTGATTTTCCTCAAGTGGTGAATTTTATCTTCGTTTCAGTGAACGTTCTAGCAACAAGTGGAATTATACTGTATTGAAATGTCGATTGAAGGGACCAGAGTGGGTTGCTTCCAAGTGCTCTTATTATTCCTACTCGCAATAAATTGTATTATTGTCGCAATGAGCCATGCATTACCCGCATTCCACAATTATACCCCTAGATTCTACTGCGAGGTAATGAAGCATTAGTCTCGTTAGAACAATCAGATTCTTGAATGATTCATTCAACTCAGATCTGACGATTCTCTAAGGAAAAAAAATTTCTCCATTTTTTTTGACGATGATTTCTGACATAAAAAAAATTAATTTATTTAAAAAACTTTGGCTACAATCATCTTTGTGTTTCAAATAATCCATTTTCCAAAATTTCAGTAAACATTTACGTATTTTTTTTTCTAATTAAAAAATCGCCCAAAAATTCGTACGTATCGAATTTTTGATCAATATGAAAAAAGTGAGGAGAAATCTTATTTCTTTATCCTTTTAAAATGAATGAAATTGAGGAAATGAAGAAGAGAAAAACAATCTCTTTTAATGTTTTTAGAGTTTGAATGGGAGTAATCGAAGGTACGGATGCGCTCGAGGGGAGGAAGGGGGCAACTCAACGATTGGCGATGCCATGGAATTTTGCCAGACTGAGTATAAATTTGTGGCAGATCGCGGGGAGGAGAGTGTGGTTACTGATTGGGGTCTAGTTTGCGAGAGGAGTTACCTGAGGGACTTGGCTAATATTGTTTATTACGTCGGGGTGTCTATTGGTGCACTCGTCGCGGGTATTACCGCCGATAGATTTGGAAGACTTCCGGTTCTAGCAATTTGCCTGTATGCGCAGGGGACCATGGCAGTAGCAACATACATAGTTCAGGTAATTTGAGATTCCAAAAGAAAAATGAAGATTCCACCCGGTGAGGAAAAATTGTTGTTAAAAATCTTCAACACAGATGAGGATATATTTTCTCCGGCTAATATAAACCTTGCTGTTTGAAATTTCCACGATTAGATAGAATTCCTGGAAATGAGTTTAACGATGAGAAAATTATTGCATGAATCAGAGTTATCCAGTATTTGTGGGTCTTCGGGGTCTCCAAGGGATATTCGCACAAGGATTACACGCATCGACATACATTCTCATTCTCGAGTTGTTTCCAACAAAGTTTAGAACACTAGTGTTCACAGTGATGGGAATAGCCTGGGCACTGGGATTAGAGCTCTTGGCTGGTCTCAGCTATATAATCCTGGACTGGAGGATTCTCCAATTGGCCGTTTCCGTGCCCACAGCCATTACCGTTCTCTATGTTGGGTAAACAATTATTCCCATTTGCAAAGTTCATCCCTCGTCACTTGCATAACACGCCTAACGCTAATGTTCATTACGAAGGATTATTCCTGAGTCACCGAGGTGGTTGATGGCGAAAGGAAAAACCACCGAGGCTGACATGGCACTTGAGAATATCACCAAATACAACGCCTGCTGTTGTGGTAGCAAAGTGCGCAGAGAGATTGTAACTGATAACAGTGAGAACACCACACCTGTTACATCCTCACGCAAATCTCGGGTCTTCGATGATTCCAAAGACTTGAATGAAAGCGAAGCTGTCAATCTGCTGACGCCAACTAATTCGGCGCATCGTAACTCGAGAAGTAATTTATCAATTTTTTATATAATTATTTTATTCGCAGGCGTTTGGGGGTGACCCAGTATAATTGGAGTGATAAAGTGAGATGATGTGAAATTCACTAATTAACATTTCTCGTAATGGCAGATTTCTCTGAAAAACTATCGCTTCAATAAAAAAAACCTCAGAAGACTTACGGTCTTTTTCTATTTTCTCATAAAATACACGATTATTCAAATTAATTAGTGTTGAACAAAACTGTAAAACTCGACTTATCTGGGTTCACTACTGAAATGTAGAGTTCAATGGAAGAGCATTTGTTAAAGTACTTGAATCGGCTTAACGACTCAACTTCTTGCATGTCCATTCTCGCAATTTTATGGCTGCGTCAAAGAGGAGTATTTCATGCTTCATAAAAATATATTAACTGTGAAACTTCACAGGAATAAGTTTACGTGCAATTTCGGAGAATCTGGAGAAACGAATATCGAATTTAACACCGGAAGTGTCGGCTGAGGGGAATAGTGGAGAGTTGGAGATCGGAGAGCCGTCGACGTCTCACAGTAATCGAAATTCCAAGTTACTCCCTGATGATACAATTGTCAGTGAAACTGGCAATGTTGCGGGACCGAGTGATCCTATTTCGATCGAAATGGATATCAAACCTATGGAGAATCACGCGTCTGAAAAAAGGGTCATCGAAGATGACGAGACTGAAAAATTATCACAGTCGGATTCTTACAGATCGGCTAATCTTCGCGTTGTAAAATACAGCGGTGCCATTGCAGTACAGTGGTAATTGAATCAATAATTATAGTCATTACCACTGGAATTATTGCCAATTCCCTCTATTTTTCTTGTTTTGCAAAATAAAAATATTAATTGCCATAAATTGTACAGGTGAATAACTCAAAAATATATTTACTATTTCGAAGAAAATACTTTATAACGGAATTCCAGGATGATAAGAATATTAAACATTCTTCATTCATCTGTCGTCGATCGATAGTGAAGCCGCCCGTCAATAATTCAAGCGGAAACCCATCACTAATTGCAATAATTCACTTACAGGTACTCGACATCACTGGCAAACGCAATTGTATTGAAATCAACGCCAAATTTATTAGAAAATCGACACATAAATTTCGCTGTTGGCGGTATAATAGAACTCGTTATTTACCTAGTCATCTATTTTGTTTTGTCACGGCACGGAAGACGTTTACCACTGGGTATTTTTCAGTCTCTCAACAGCGTGATTTGCATGGTGATAGCCGGGCTGGTATTTCTGCCTCGTCTAACGGCATTTTGGATTGGTGCACAAAGTGCGTGAGGGTCTATACGATTTTTATTCTCCTGTCCCACTGTTTATCCACAATTTTTTAATGTCGATATAATCTCAGTGAATTTATATAATAATTCTTCGTACCCACAGGCATTGCTAGAACGACATTACTGCTGTTAGGTAGAGTAACGACAACGAGTACAGTGGGGACAGTTTATTTGTACACAGTCGAGATATTCCCAACTGTGTTACGAGGCACCTGCTTAGGTGTTTTCACTGTTTTTGGCACGATCGGTTATATCGGTGCACCATACATCAGCGCAGTGGTCAGTATCAATAACAATTTACGCATTATTTGAAAACGTTTTGGATGGTTTAAGTGATTGGAAATTTCAGGGTCATTGTGTCCCTATGGGAGAATTCATGCTGGCGGCTATTCTATGTCTTGTTGCTGGCCTAGCTTGTCTAGTGATGCCGGAAACTGTGAGCAAGGTACTACCTGACACTATTAAGGAAACCGGGAGATTAACCACTGGGAAGAATATTTGTGATGCTAATGGGCGGGAGGATGCCGCTGCCGAGAGGGAACTTCTCAGGGAAAAATTATTCTCCGAAGATTGGGTCGATGCTGGTAATGGAATTATTGTTAATTTTACAGAGAATAAGAATTGAGGTGGCAGGAGTTGCTCTGAATTACGCGAGTATTGCAGTGACATTCATCATACCTTGAGGAGCGATTAGATAGGTCTAAACATGAATAATTTCTAATTGTTTGTTCACGGGTAACTGAAATATTAAAAACAGTCCAAGTTTCTTTTTTGATAATTTCAACTTCCACATGTTTATAAAAAAAATATTTACATAAATTATTCATAAATATCTAATCGTTCCGCAACGAATGATCACAACTCGGAAATAAATAGTAGTCCCCCCCCAAAGGAATTGTAATATCCGTATTGAGACCTGATGTTTTGATTCCGAAACGAAATGAATTTGTAAATATTTACGTTCTAAGCTATTTGGTGAACTAAAATATTTTCTACTATTTGTGCATTGACATTGTTTTCCCAATTGTAGACTGAGTAGAGTTCACCACCATGCGATGAAGTTTAATTTATTCCCATGAGAAATCATTTATTGAAGCCTAGAGATTATACGTATGAATGCTATTATTGATGTTGAATGTATTATTTACGTGGAGGAAATAATAAAAATTCTGATAAAATGAGAGACATTTATTACGAGGTAATAAATATAAAACCGTTTTACTTGCGATCTATCACAGCTAACCCGCTCCATCCAACTTCATGGGTATATCTGGAGGACGAATTGTCTCTGGGGCAGTAAGATACACAGGGTAAAGTAATGCGGCTTTTTGGTGAGTGTCATTTAATTAATTTTGGCGTTTTTATGTATTAGGGAACTTTAGGCTGGGCAATTCCATTGTTCTGGGGGTTAACGTGCTGGGGGGTTTGTTCCGATGCCTGCTGGAGTAATCTCGTTCTGCGACGAGTGTAGTGTTGCCAGAGGAGGATCTGCTGGTCGTCGATGAATTTTGTACACTGAGAATTCACAACTTCACGTCTGAAGTGCTCGTATTGCAGGAGATCGAGGAAATAGAGACACATTGGATATTTTAAGTACTTCGCATACTCAGGTTCTTTCCAGTAGAGGAGGTACTTGAGGTAGTTTATGAAGGTGGAGTCCTTGAAGTATCCACGTTGGGCTAGAACTGAATAACGAGAAGAAAAACTATTCATTTGTGGATTTCGTTAATCTTTCTTTCTTTAATAATTTTTTCGAGAGATGTTGAGATATTTTATATCACAACCGATTCGGTAAATAATTCCAATCAGTCAATAAAAATAATACTAACAGTTCAAGTAATTAGGGTTCGCCAAGCACTGAACAAACTCAAGTTCCACTTGGAACCTCAGACGTTGTTGGTCGTCAGTTTCTGGTACACCTGGAGAAAAAAAAATCAATCAAGGACCGATTAATTCCAGACACTTTCGGATTATTTTGAGATTGTCCCTGCCATCAATTACAATGAAAACATAACCTTCTCACCGTTCATTGCAATGTATGATGGCTTTCGGCCTTTCAACAGACTCGGTGGATCATCCAGACGACTCATATTATTTCACCACCGGAGAACAGTATCTTCTGTTCACGTTTTCCCCCGCGTTATGATGAAATTCCACTCATTAGCGGAGTTCTATTATCAACAAAACAGTCTAAACAATAAAACCCACACCTGAAGATCTGTCAAACAATAATGCCAGCATCTCAACCTCAACCGAGAAAACAGGCAACACTTTTACCCCGATGATAAACATTTTTCTCGACTAAATTTAATAAAACGACTAAATAACCGAATATCAATCACTCAGAAAAAAATGTAAAAAATTATCGCAAATATATTTTCCGCGTTAAATAAATATTTTTCAATGTAGAGAGAATTTTGTATTTCCTCGAAAAAAAGTGGCGCCCTCTCAGCGAAATCCCGGGAACGGACCTCCCGCCATTTTCATCAAAACCAACATGGCGCCCAGTGTAACGACGCCATGCGTTACAGTCGAGTGTTCCACCACTTTGCACTAGTATTTCTCAGTTCAATGCCGGTTTGACGGATCAAAACAAACAGAAAATTCAATACAACAGTCCTCGTGTATTAAAACAGCATAATAAACGTGAATTAAGTGCATAATGAGTCGTCGAAAGCGTGCCAAGGTGCGTACATTGCAGTTGTGTTGGAATTCACGTGTTTAATGAGTGTTTACTCGATGTTTAAGGTTGAGTATCGAGAAATGGAAGAGAAATACAATCAGCTGGAGGATGAAAACACATCGGATACATCGGAGAAATCGAAAACTGGCCTTGGTACTCCGGAAAAAAAAATGTTGAATGAGCAAGTCAAGGTCAGTGAGCTCCCGGCTCCAATAGCAGCAACTTCAGCCCCAAAAAATGAGGTCAAGGAAGAGGACGAGCAGGATAGTGATCACGAAGACCCTCATGGTGAGTTTGTCATTTGTTTTATTATTTATAATACTGAATTGTTATTTTGTGATTTATTATGATGCATTTGTCCAGTTAAAGAGCTTCTCAATGGGCTGGAAGGGGCTGCCTTCCAGAGTCGCCTTCCCTTTGACAAATTGACGTCCACAGAGGCTGTTTGCTTCCCTGATATATCGTCCGGGCCTCCTCAGACGCAAAAAGTGTTCCTCCACATCAGAAATAGGCTGGTAAGCATTCTACAGGTTCTATTTCAGGATTCAATTTATAACGCAAGATGTGGCGGATTTTACGGTTTCGTCAATTGTTGATTGATCTCGACAAATATCCATTCTAAAAAAATTTACAAAGCTATAAAAAACCTGCAGGGCTTTTACTTTAAATTCATCGTTTTCTTCATAAATCGATGATTCTGAAAGCTGCTGTATGATTTGATTTTACGGTAATTTTTAATTATTTTCTGGGTGGATTGCAGCTTCAGTTGTGGCTGGAGAACCCCAAGCAACAGCTCATAATTGAGAATGCTCTGTTGGCTATTGAACCACCGTACAACAGCGATCCTGTACTCACAAGGCGTATCCACGCGTTTTTGGAACGTCATGGGTTTATTAATTTTGGAGTATTTAAACGGTTGAAGCCCATACCTACGAAAAAACTAGGGAAGGTTATTGTGATTGGGGCAGGGATCGCTGGACTCGCTGCTGCACAACAGATGCAGCAATTTGGTCTCGAAGTTATTGTTCTGGAAGCACGAGTGAGTATTCTAGAGTGGAGGTCAAATTTTGTTATTCGAGATTTATGTGGATTATTATTTTCGCAGGATCGAGTTGGTGGGAGAATTGCAACATTTCGAAAATCTTCGTACATAGCTGATTTGGGGGCTATGGTGGTGACTGGATTGGGTGGAAATCCAGTTACTACATTGAGTAAACAAATTAACATGGAATTGCATAAAATTAGGCAGAAGTGTCCACTTTACGAGAGTGATGGACAAACAGTGAGTTATTTGTCATCAAATGCCAATCACAGGAAAAATTTTTTTAATGCTTTTAATTGAATAATTATTGTGTTCAGGTACCGAAGGACAAAGATGAAATGGTTGAAAGAGAATTCAATCGATTATTGGAGGCAACGTCGTACCTCTCCCATCAGCTTGATTTTAATTACATCGGGAATACCGGCCAGCCAGGCAATACAACAAGGCCAGTCTCATTGGGCCAGGCATTGGAATGGGTAATTAGACTTCAAGAGCAGGGTGTCAAGCAGCGCCAAGTTGCTCATTTCAGCTGCGTACTTAGCCTCCAGAGTAGACTCATTGCTAATCAGCAGCGGGTACGTATTTGCTTATTTCGTGAAATTTTCATTCGAATTTTTCCTCTCCGTGGTATTTATCTTACTGTTTCACCCCGAACAATAGATGATTGCTATTAAAGAGAGGCTGGCCGAACTCAACAAACAGTACAAAGAAATGACAGAGAGCAAATTACAGACTCGGGATATTACCCAGGAGTTTGTATTGCGATCCAAATTGAGGGATTTACACAATGCGTGTAAGGTAATTGGGCATTTAATCACGAATTGCTTGTTTTGTTGATGTAACATTAATTGGTAATTAAATATTTCGATTTCAAAGGAATGGGATCAGCTTGCTGAACAGCAGAAGGAGATTGAAGCTAAGCTGCAGGAATTGGAGGCCTCTCCACCGAGGTAATTCATGAATATTAATACATAGTTGACGAATTTGACAAAAAAGTCCTGCAGTTTTCTCCTTCATAAATAATTATAGAAAGATAATGCTATCTCATTCTCAATGAATAAATTATGCTTATTGTTACAGTGACGTCTACCTATCTTCAAAAGACCGCCAGATTCTCGACTGGCACTTCGCAAATTTGGAATTTGCCAACGCCACTTCATTATCGAATCTCTCGCTGAAGCACTGGGACCAGGACGACGATTTCGAGTTCACTGGGAGCCATCTGACCGGTAAGTTACAACTCATTCGATACAATGTACTCTTTCCGTGATCGCGCCCTCCCCCGAATAAAAGTTGCCGAAACGAATGAAAAAGAGGATAAAACGAAAATTAAAGGGAAAAAAAGGCAACACACATGAAGGCAAAACCATTTGGTCCCTAATTGAAATACGCGCGCCTGAAATTAATCTACAATCTCTCGTCGTTAAATTCAAGCCCGTACCGCTAATCGAGGACCCAGGCAAAAGGGCGGCAAAGGTAGAGGGAATAAACGATTCGAGTGAGAAAAACAGTGGTGGGAATGAGGAGAAAAGAGACTGCGAGGAGGGTCGGGGGGAGGGGTAGAGTCTGCATACTGGAGGGTGGTGTAATCCATGTTGAGTATTCGTGTAAGGCAGTACGTACTGGGCGCAACATGTATGCGGTACTCTGGTGCACCATGAAGTCCCGTAGAAGATACTGCACCCAGGGGGGTGGGGGGGGGAGGCGAAGATGGTGTAGATAACGCGTGAATTATTCCCTCTTGCGCCATCTCTTTTTAACATAATCCCTAGCCGCGTACCATCAGCTACTCTCTTTCTCCTTCATTTGAGTCCCTCATTCTGGTCTTGGGGTTACTGGGAAAATTCTCATCGATATATATCAACCATTGATTCCCCTACACCTCCCACCAGTTGACTTTATCAGCCTTATTAAAAACCGATAATGAGATTCTGTGTAGATTACAGCTGAGTACAATCTCACTGTGCAATCTCACATTGGGTCTTTGGGGTTGGTGACAAGATTTACGTGGAGCCAATGCTAATGACATATTTAAGGATATTCACGTACTTCACGTGATTTTTTTTTTCTTCTTGCTGGAGTCGTTCTCTGCATTTGTGTCTGATGTTCTGGGCATTTTGCGGTGATAATCGTAGTAAACTTTTCGTAAAAAAAAAATTCGTTCGATTTTCTACGGGGAACAATTTTTGGTTCCTCTCGATCCGTTAGGGTATCTGTCGGGGGTCCGGGAAAATCTTTATTGAGGAAAAAATCTGATCAGATAGAGGTCGTCTCTTGCGAAACTCCCCTGCTCGAACAATGAGACCGTGTGAATTAAAGTGCTAAAAAACGCTTGGCCACCCGGGGCGGGAATCGAACCCACGGCCTCCCACATGCCACCCCGATTCAACCACACGGCTGTCGCCGCCGGTTATATACACAAAATGACGAAAAAAAATAGAACTTTTCAAACATGGAAATTCTTCCACATAATTAATTCATAAACAATAGATTTTCCACTCGAAAAGGCTTTCATCCCAGAATCACAATGAAAGCGTGGCTATTCAGTATTTTGAAGATCCCTATCAGGTAGACAACAATAAGCTTTCGGAGATTAAAATTATTTTTATTATTTATTTGCAAAGAAAATAAATACATCATGTAATTTCGGCGGAATTTTTTGGATATAGATATGAATTAATCAAGTGATACAATCGAGCCATACGGAGTGAAGATTGGATTTTTTAATGAAAGCCCCAAAATTCAATTGATCACCCGGATTTTTAATAATTTACTGAAATTTCTGCGATTAATAATTCCAAGGGGATAATTATATGATTGAATGAGTGGATGGAGCCACAATATTCGATTTAATTATTCTCTTTTACTGTCGTTTTCCTCGTTTTCTATGACATTAACCCGGTAAATTGGATTTTTCATTATGTGGAAGTATTAATGGAAGAGTCTGGCACTGTCGTTAGAGTAGTTAGAAATGAAGGGACAGGAGATGGAGGGAATGGAGATTCGATGAGACTGTGAGGGAATGTGATCGGCATGTGATAATGATCTTCATTAGGAAAACACCTGAAGAGGTACAGAGAGGGCAGACGGTGAGGTTTTATTGGAGTCTATTCTGAATCCCAAGATAAGGAGGCAATGTACAACGAAAGTACTATGAATCACTTTTATTTGCCATTCAATTTGGTTGGGATTCGGTCTTCCCCAAGGGGATTCTCCTTTTTATGTCTCCTATTCTGCGTCAAGAGTTGTTTATGATATCTTCGACTGGTACTTGCAAATAATTGTCCATGAAATTGCTGGCTCTTCATCAGATTTTATTAATGACAATGGAGTGATTGTGTTTGCTTGCAGAAGTTGATAGTGTGTGTTTCATTCCTTTTTCTCTCTCTTTGTCTTGGTGTTTTATCTTCTTTGAAATTGTTACGGAAAAGCAAACAATGGGACCAGTGATTACTCGCAGTGGTGGGCAGGCAGGAAGACCAGAAGAATGAGGAGTTCATGGTTTTCTTCGTTTTTCAATAGGAGGTGGGGGAGGAATGTTTGGTCTTTATCCTCGATTTTGCACGGTTTTCGGAGCATTTTGTTTTACCAACTCGAGGGCAAAACAACCAACTATTATTATGCGGTAATAGTCAGTGTTTAATGATAGGGGTTCTCGTGAATCGTTGGTAATTCCGGCAATATAGTGACACAAGTTACTATAGCCCGTACCCACCAACTGTTTGTTAGTTTATATGTACGAGTTTGGCTTTTACCTCTCAAGACCAAAAGGAGGCAAATTATATGGGGGGGCCAGTACCTTTGCTGTCTCGGTTTCTCTTACCTCACTGTGACATTCTCAGGGGTTACAGGCGTTTATTAAACTCCCCACTCAACCCAACTCTTGAAAATCCGGGAATTTGTGTCAACTTGAGTTTTAGTTGTTTCATTTCATTTTATTTCCGAGCGAATTCGATTTCGAATTTAATTAAATTTGTTTTGTTCCCGAATTGGAGAGTCGTGTCGGGTTCTAGAGTCGGTGAGAGAAAAAAAAAATGGAGGGAATGGTGGTTATTTGAGTTCGGTGGACAGTGCCAGGAAATCTACACCTTCGTTTAGAGATAATATCTTGGGAGAATCGGTGAGACAGAAGTCCACTGAGATAATAACCATTACAGTGGATTTCCTAACCCCCCCGTTCTCGATGAACTTCTGAGGGTTTTGGGTTACTGAATAGTGTATTTAGCACAGTTGAACAGGACTATCGTTAGCTGGTCTCTATGCATAAAGTAAACGAGTTCTTATCTTGATTAGACACACGTGTTTTACGCAACTCGGGGTTTAGCCAGTGGTTGTGGTGGTCTTTGGATGGCATTTGCTCTCTTTTTTTTAAGGAAGGAATTTAAGGAGTCGTTTATATCAAGGGGAGTTTCTCTCCCTCGACTTGTGATGGAATCAGGGTGGGAAAAGTTACCTCGATATTTTGGTCAACTGGAGATTAATTTTGATAGTTAACGATCCTTGATATATAACCGGTGACAAGGATTTATTTCTCCGGGGGCGTTTTATCCTTTTGCCTTGAGCTTTTTTTATTTTGGTCGTTTTGACGATAAACAGGTCGCGCTACTCCTCCCCTCGCCAAATAATCGTCGGCCAGTGGTTAGGAGGGATGTCAGAGAATGCGACGTGGCATTTGAGTCTTAAATATTTTTGCTTTTTACTGTTTGAAAGGATCGGCCAAGTGGGGAGGAGAAACTCGCCGATTTTTCGGCTGCACGGGGGAAAAAGTTCAGTGGACCCCTTAAATATTATTCAATAATAATATATTTACCCGTAAATATATTAAATGTATTAAGCGTCGAAGCATGAGAATTGTTTCGTAAATATTGTTGGGGTGAGGAAAAAATTAGAACGAGTACGAGGGAAAGCTTTTGCAAAGATTGTAGGTTACCACTGGTGACGGGTAAACGGTTGAGATCTGTTTTCCATCACTAAAAATTGACGAATAAAACAGGGTTTGCCGTGTATATGTAGTGGTTGTTGCCTTTAGCCGGCGATGGGTTTACAAGTGAAGCGATTCTTATCGCTTCTCGCTCTCGTTTGGATCGCGCGCGCGTTTCGCATTCCATTCCGCTCCAAGTCGATCCAAAAGACGAATCGGATAAAAACTAATTTCAAGACTTTTCAATTACTGAACTGCATTCGGAGGGATCATACCTGTGGACTCTCACTTCTTTTTTTTTTTCATACTTTTTACTTTTCTCGTGTTTACCCTTCGCTCCCTTTCTTTCTTCGTCCCAGTTTAATTGAATTAAAATGTTGTTAGAGAGATTAACTCGATTTGAGGGGAAAAAAAGTTGGATATTTGAGGTAATGAAGTGCTTTTTGACTCATGGGGATGAAAAAGGTAAAATTCTTGGTAGAGTTTTATGAGAATCTGCGATCTCTCGGCTTCTTCACTGTTAATGGCATTTTGATTCTCCACTAACTCGAGAACGTGGAGAAAAAAAATTGATAAAAATTGATAAAAATAGAGATAAAATTGGAGAAAAGGGGAAAAAAACGTGGTGTGACTGGCTAGCGCCTAGTCTGTACCATACCAGATCAGGTTTGATATTTTAAAACTGGGAATCCCACGTGAGAACGTGAGGTTGACGCTGAAATGACTTCCATCTCTTGTTTCCAAGTGCACGTGGGGTTTGGTAGAGAGTGAATAAGAGAAACAGAATGATATAAAAAGAATTGAGGGGGGGCTTGAGGTCTTGTGCTGGTTGAAGTCGGTACTTTCAATTTGTGGATAGTGAGTTTTTGTGAGGATGGGTGAGACGATGAGGACTCTGGGCACGAAGCGAGACCCTCACTATATCGTATACAAGGCCAAAGAGGATAAAAGGGGACAGTAGCCATCTCTTGAGGATCGCCCTGGTGATCTCATGGTTCATGCTTTATGTATTTTATCCCCCTCTTGGTTGAATTTTATTCGTAAAACTTTTGTAAAAATCAGGGAGCCAGGGAGTTCTAACCGCTGGTTATGTGCTAGCCGATCGGTTTTGTATCGGTTGAATCATAAAATTCTGGTGGTGAATGACACTCGAAGCATCTACTTGTTGGTATGGCTCTCTTTTTTATCCATGGGTGAAGAAATGGATTGTATCGACACGTTCCAATGGACTTTTCTTGTAATACCATCGGTATTCTCATTATCTCAGTCGACTTGATCGTACATTTCAAATTCATAGGTGTGTACGCT